TAGACAATGCATCACTGAAGGAGTTAATAATAACGTAAATGGTCTCATTCCAGCGGGGGCTGTCGGTATCGTGGATGACCTTTGTGCGGCCGAGCTCATTACGGTTGTTCAAAGACACCACGGCGTACGGGTCAGGAGTGCCAGAGAACTTATCGGGGTTCTTGAGCTGTTGAGCACCGTGGAGAGTAATCGCGACCACACCAATAGCCTGGTCGACGGGGTTTCCAGCAAGCATCTTAGCAATTTCAATCGGGAACACGTTCGGATCGTACATCATGGGCTGCAAATTGGCGTGAATCTGGTCCTTGATAAAGGACTCAAGACCGGGAATGAAGTTGATATCGAATCCAAGAGTATCACCACCAAGGGGCTTGCAAACATAATCGAGTTCGGGCTTATCCAGGAAGCAGACATCCACACGCTCGATGTGGGGGAAGGCAATCTGAAGCTTGACCTTGACACGCATCAAGCCTGTGCAAGCCATGTCCTCAACAATCACGTCGAGACCCTTGCTCACGACACCCTTGCCGACGCGAACCTCCAATACGATCTTGGGGTTGATCTTGTCCTTTGTTTGGCGCGCAGTCAGGTCCGTAACATCATTGGGAGTGAAGCTGAACTTCCAGTCCATGATCACAGTATCAGGGTCAGTCTTAGGGTAGGTCTTGACGTGTTCCAGGCGAGGAGGCTTGGTACCAAGGATGAATGTCTTTAGACGCAAGCTATCCAAGAAGGCGGGGGTAGAAGTACTAAGGACCTGATCGACGGTGTTGATGATAGTGTCGCACAGGACGGGGGCGTAGATAGGCCAGAACTTGACGAGGAAGCTGTTAATCCACTCAAGGCTCTCGGTGTCGGTCTCGAGGCGCTGTTTGGACATTTCACGGCTAATATCATCACGGAAGTTTCGGCGGACTCGTCGAATGGAGGTACGGTAGTAGGTGCTACATGCTGCCATGACCATAAGAACCCAGCCTATACCACCGCCTAGAACGGCAACCATCCATGAGGCCAAACAGGCGAAGATGATAATGCCAGAATTGTGGTACCAGTCGCCGAAGAATTTATCGGGGATTCTCCCTTCCAAGAACGTCTCGTGATCCAGCAATGTACCTTCTTGGCTCAGAGCGGCCGCCAGCTTCTCATCGACGAACTTCGGGGCCCAACCTGTTCTGTCGCGTGCCCACCGAAGATCCTCATCGAGGGGCTTCCCATCCGCGGCTTCTCGTGTGGCTTCCTCGGCCATAATAGCGGTCGCAGATTCCGGTGCGGGGAGATCATAGTCGGCTTTGCCATCGGTCTAGGTAAGGTCAGCATGTAGATCGACATCACATCCGAGAAATGTAATCATTCTCACCTTATCCGTAATTACAGCGACACCCTGTGGTTGATGGGGGTGGTGAAAATTAGGCGGCAATCGCTAAAAGACACAACAGTGAGTATGGTGCCAAAACTTGAATATTGTACGAAATATACCTCTTTGGCAGCAATGGCCTTGTCTTCAGGCGAGGCATCGGGATCGAATTGGTATGCAGCAGAACCGGCTTGTTGGGCTTCCTTGACGACCTTTTCCTCAATGACATCCGGGTTAACGTGTGACTGCGGGTCCTGCTGCAATTCCTGGGCGGCCTCAATGGTGCCCTCCATCTTCATACCCGTCTTATCCGCGTCGGCGGACGCCATATCGCCGGTTTGTGTTGTGTTTCAGGTCGGGGGAATCGGGAGAGCCGAGGATGTTCTAGGAGGGTGGTCAGATTCGATCCATGGGTGAGAGAGATGGGTACCTGGGGGATGGTGGGGTGGAAGAACGCATTTGCGTCTTACATCTGAGCAACGTACCGGAATGGCGATGTTGTCGAAAGGGATAACCTGGTGTGTGTATACCAAGGTATAGACTTGAAGAAAAAGAGAAAAACAAGAGAAGAGGAGTGGACCAAAGTCACAGCTAATGCCCAGCCGCTTGCGTCAAGGGGAACTGTGGCTGGGATTACGATACAATATTACCATTACATACCTATATCACCTTTATGTAGGTAAATTAATTAATTTATAATTTAGGAACCCAATGAAAAGAAAGAAAAGAGAAAAGAAAAAAAAAAAAAAAAAATAGGGGAGATCGTAAGCTCTCCGGCGATCGCAGATCAGTGACGTACACCCTGGATCAGCGTTCTTTTAGAGCAATTGATACTATGTGTACGCAGTACTCCGTAGTAATCAACAGGCTACGGAGTATACAATTCTAGTATAGTTAGTACATATGTATACATAATGTACTTACTACATTATGTACTACATTATGTATCTGTTCAATTGCGTATCATCAAAAGTAACAAAAAGATAGGAGCCTAAAATCGGAACTATTAGATTTGACCCGAGCTTTCAGCACCGCCACAGAGGGTCAATGAGGTCAATGAGGGTCAAATACGGAGTACTCCGTACAGACTTAGGGTTATCTTAACTTAATTGCTGGGTTCAATGCCCCTTTTTGTGAAGATCTTATTTATCAAAGAATCTTGCGACTTTGTACTTCTGTATGGTATGTTGTAATTATATCTCAGGGTACACGTGGCGTACGCAATAAAAACCTATATCACATTACACAAACTTCACTATCATCGCCTATCCCTAATTGGGTAGATCGGCCAAGCCGAAATCCACCAAGATTAGGATATGGTTTTCTTTACCGAGGAACCTCTGGAGTATATCAGCCACAGTGTAAATTTTCAGTCCTAAGATAGTCATAGCCCATGAGAACCCCACGCTCTATACTACAGAGTAGAAAGGGTATATTTATCTATGAACAACTTTAGATAGCTTAGCGTACTTAGTACCACAGTTTCCCAAGCCTGGACCACAGGTCGGTGAATTCACATGTTCCTCTGCCTTCCCTACTTAGCTAGTATCTCAAGGGCATTGCCAATCCCTCTCCATCCTATACCACCATTGATTCAAAAGATGGCATTTTTCCAATGCTACCACTGTCTGGAACAGGTTATCAATCTCAAATTGGACTCCACAATAAGCTCGAGTGAAATCATGATCTCCCAGCAATCCAATGCTGATCACCAAGTTTGACTAGCATTGACTGCTCTGTGTTCTGATGACACCCATCAGAGGGGATACTAGGGCAGAAGGTCAGAACCTATCTACCATTAATTGGTGTCCCATGAATGGTAGGAAAGACAGTTAGGGTTGGAACAGCTAATCTTGTACTTGAGGGCGGTAATCGCGGTATTCATGCCTAACAAATTAGATTTTTTAAAGGCTGCATCGCTTATAGATTTCCTCTACCAGGTCGTGGACTCGTGGCTTTCCTTTTCCGTTTTAGTGCTCAGCCCCTTGTCGCTTTTGCTCACTGAGTAGATCTGAGCACGACTCTGAGCGCCCTAGATCGGTGAGCATTCCGACTTGCTCACTGAGCAAACCCTGAGCATAAGGGCACCTCAATAAAACGCAATACGCCAGCCTCATCCACGCAACGCTCTTTTTCTCTAGATTGGCCCCACTGTCCTATCCAAATGCATTGGCCTCAACAACATGAGGTTTTTCTTTTTTTGGTAGCCATTGCGCCTCGCTGAAGCATGATGGTTGATCAACCTATTAAATCATCTGTGCGCTCCTGGGAACCCTTGTCTACTGATTTCCACGGCCCATAGAGGAGCTAGTCTAAGAGAAGATATCACATGAACATACTGGAATACCACAAGTCTTACTCTGGACATCTTCTTTCTACATTGAGCACACGTACCTGAAGTTCCGGAACACATACTTGGTCAAACCCCAATTTCCATGGATTACAATATTTCAGAAGAGATTGCTCCTGGGAACTTGCCGGATGATTGATTCGTTGATTCGTAGACTGTTACAGGCGGCTTCTACGCCTGGATGATCCTGGGAACGTCCGACTTTGCGCCATTTTGTTACATGTGTAAATCTCCTTCAAAAAATTCGCTCATAATCTATGACTATCTAGATTCCCAGGAACTTGGAATGTAAGTAAAACTTGTGATGATGTCCTAGAGTCAAGTGGTGTCAATTTCACTGAGGGATATATATTGAAGCCTACTATCATCAAAGTAACTGCCATCATCGGCTCTCCGTTTGATCATATCACTAAGTGAACCGAACCACTTCTGTCTACTGTTCAATATCCACTTGATCGCGTGAATAGTCTGAAATGGTCTTGTGCGACTCTATGGTTGTCCCTGAGATAGGGACATTCGCCAATTCCATAAGCTCTAAAAGATTTAAATAAATAGAATATTACCTTAGGGATAAGGCCGAGAACCGTAGGTAAAACGAAGCATGATTAGAAAGATACAAAAGGGAAGGGGGGCTTCAACTTTACTTAACACCTAAATTAGCATGTTTGTCTTGGTTGGGGCCCATTGGTCCCCTACAAAAGCCTAATGGGCTTCTACCCTACGCCCATAGCCCACCGGTGAGCCTAAGGACCGGGTTCAAAGCCCAACCCATTTGCGGGTTGGGTTGGGTTGGGACCTGGGATTTATGGGCTGGTGCGAAGGTCTAGTCGACATAAACCCTAGGGAGTGCACGAAGCATTCGTACACGGTTGAATCAATTCAGTATACAATCTTATCATATGATATTACTGGCCAGGTCAAGTCAAGTCAGGCCACGTCGTACGATTCAGTAATGAATCGGAAGATAAGTTATGATAGAAGAATCAAAGGGGTTAAAACTTCATCAAAAATAGTTAAACTTGTTCTAAACTAACTATGGATAACAGACAGTTCTTATAACATCAAAACATCACAGAATCAGGAGAATTAGAGTGTTGAAACTCTTTTCTTATATAGGCATCTCGATCCGATGTTGGTTAGGATCAATCGTTGAGGATCAGCGTCACATGGTGAGATGATATTTTCGGTTGCTTTCTGTCAAGTTCGATAGCTCTCATTTGAAGCTTATGCACACCTTCTCGTGGACACATCACCTTTCATCATTCTCAATCAGTCACACCTACAGTGGTAAACCAACTACCTTGCAGCCTCAGTTGAGTCGTATACTTTCTTTCCACGATACCAAGTCTGGCAGACCTTTGCCTCCAGAAGCTTCTCTGGTGTCCAATGCATATCAACCACCACAAAATCGGCAGACAGACCCTGTTGCAAACTGCCAGTCCATGAGTCTGCAAAGCGTGCATATGCTGCTCCAGTAGTTGCAGCAGTTGCAGCTTCAGCCAGCGTGATACCGAAGTGAGCGTTGACAGTTTCAGTACTCTCAGGCTCGAGTGCAGATCGCCTGGTTGTCGCATTATAGAGGTTGGGGAATGGCAAATGGGGTGCAGTTGGCGCGTCAGTTCCAATTGCCAGAGGGGCACCCCCATCCATGAATTCTTTGTAGGCAAAGCCGCGCTTGCATCGATCGTGCCCGACACGACTGGGCCAGGATTTGAAAAGTACTGGGTCGGAATGAACAGGTTGGATAGAGGCTGTGATTCCTAGTTCACCAAGCCTCTTTGCGTCCTCTGATGTCGTCATTTCTAGATGCTCGATTCTATGTCTCCGGCCGGGTGTTCCCACTTGTGAGAGAACATCGATTACTTGGTGAACGGCGCGATCACCGATAGCATGAATCGCGCACTGCAGACCGGCTGAATCAGCTCGCTGCATAACTTCACGAAGCTGCTGTTCAGGCCAAATAGGCTCAACTGGATCGGACTTTCCAGTGTATGGTTGAAGCAGGGCGGCAGTGCATCCATCGATGACACCGTCACAGATGAGCTTGATTCCAACGATACAGAAATCTGGTTCCTTGAACTCCCGTTTCAGTTCGATTGCCCGGTCAACGAAGGTGAAATTGACCTCCTGATCTTCGGTATATGGGACGACCCAATGAGCCGCAATATGGAACGGAATGTGCTTATCACGGCGATACTCCTTCAAAAGCTCCCAAGTTCTTTCGTCCATACCCATATCCACAACACCGGTGTAGCCAGCAGCAGTGTAGCTTTGAACTGCTATGTCTAGTGCAGCAAGATTATCTTCCTTGGAGTTGAAGCTCTCTAGATAAGGCCAGGCCACGAACACCGCAGCAGATTCGTCTAGAAGACCCGAAGCTCTTCCATTCTCATCACGGTGAATGTAACCACCAGGAGGGTTAGGGGCGGTATGAGCATTGATTGCTTCCAGAGCAGCTGAGTTGCACCATATAGAGTGCATATCAAAGGCGGCGATAAAGATCGGTCGCGGGTCAAGATCATCAAGCATACTTGCAAGCGCAATGCCATCGGTAGACACTTGAAGCCATCCTCGGCAAACTATGTTTGGCAAAGATGGATTGGCCACAGCGTAGGCTTTGATTGTTGCACGAATTTCTTCGAGGGATCTGCATTTAGTGAGATCGACCTTTCGTAGTAGAGAATGACCGTAGAGCAAGATGTGTGCATGGGAATCAATGAAGCCAGGGATCACAAGGCGGTTGTCCAAATCAATGACATTCGCGTCAGCTGGAATTTGTGCATCATCGAGGGAGCCAACGTAAGTGATGCGATCATTGGTGATAGTCATACACTCGGCAAACTCATTATCACCCTTAGTTGAGGGTGACGTTGGCACAAAGATGCGACCATTTCGGAGGAACGAAGTCATGATGGCGCGATAATGAGAATGGAGTTTATTTGATCAAAACGGAAAGACAGTTTGACGCCTCTAGAAGCTATTTAATGAAAGGTGAGGGGTGATCGGGAAGCTTTCTAGAGAAGGCGAATTTCTTGGACTTGCCTTTCGCAGTAATTGAAGGCCAGAGAAGGGGCTATTGATAAGTGAAGGTTTAAGTAGAAGTATCCAGTCGGAGACAGTCGGACCTGCGCTGCAGCAAGTGTCAAATGGGAAGACTTCTTCGGTTGGACTGGCTAGAAGCAGCTAGCCTTTTTTTTTTCCAGGATGTTTAACAGTTTGGGAGTCTCTCCAATCATCTTGAGAATTGCGGTCCCTCATAGCCGAATACCTAGGTATGCCCTGTAAGCCCTTGATACACCGAACCTTGGAACTAGCATAAAGTTATTTCCCCGCATGGCGAAGATAACAGACAACTCTTATTCTGACCTTCCAAGGTTGGGACGCTTATCTTATTGGGTAATGCTCAACCTTTCCGAGGTCATTTTACGAATAGCCGCCTCCATGATAAGAGGAGAGTGCCAGTGTATTTCTGTAACAAACATAATAAAAGGTTCCAGGGATCCAGTACGAATGCTTTACATCGCTTGAATTATATTGCAAGCTCTCTCGAGCGGACCTTCCACCTCTTGACACCCGGCTTGCGTTTCCCACAATCATGTCTGCTTCCAACAATATCGACTCAGCTTGGCCTCCGGGCACTGTGAGACTTGAAGGTGGCAAGAAATACACTGGTATCTTGTTCTTAAAGATCCCATTACTGACATATTTGCTCAATAGACATCTCCCCTTCAGCTGAAGGAGCACAAGTGATCTTGGAGCCAAAACCATCCAGTGACCCGAATGATCCTTTGGTCCGTCAATCGACTAACCTGCTCTCCCACTTCAGATTCTAATATCTTCCTACTTTCAGAATTGGCCACAGTGGAGGAAATATGTGAACTTCGGGTTCGTCTCTTACTATACTATGATGGTGTTTGGGTTGTGAGTCCTCCCAACCCCATTTACCCTCGTCTATAAATATCATCTTGAGATTGAATACTGATTTTTCTAGCATCAATGTCGCGACCGTGACATGGGGTTCCATGAATATCGAGCTTGGCTTCAGCTTTGCGTTGCTAAACGATAGTTACGCCGCCGGGTGTGGAGGGCTGTGCATCGGAGCTGTGATTCTCGTCCCCTTCGCCCTCAAATTCGGACGACGACCCGTATACGTTCTCAGCACTGCGGTCCAATGTGGAATCAGCATCTGGTCAGCGCGGATGCATACTGTGGCAGACTTAATGCTAGTCAATATTTTAAGTTGCATCTTCGGCGCTCTGGCAGAAGTCTTGGTCCAGATGACTGTGGCAGATGTGTTTTTCGTGCACGAGAGAGGACTTATGAACACATTGTACCTTTGGGCTGGGTCCGTTGGTCTATCTCTGGCGCCACTGGCTGGTGGGTTTGTCACTCTTTCCCAGGGTTGGCGTTGGGTGTGGTGGTGGATGGCTATACTATTTGGAGCCGGGTTCATCGCCTTCTTCTTCTTCTATGAGGAGACTATGTTTTGCGTGCCATCTATTGATGGAATTCCTGTTGCTGATAGGTCGGCACCGCAACCAGCTTCTAAGAAGCATGGGCTCGAACCCTCTAACTCGAACGGAGAGCAAAATGATTCGGCTCAACAGCCTATTCAGATTGAACATGTGGAGATCGATTACTCGATCCCCAAGAAGCCCTACTCGAAAAAATTGGCATTATGGTCTAATTCTTCTATGTCTTTCGTCGAACTATTAAAGCACAGCTACCAGCCCTTCTTGATCATGTTCAGCATTCCAGCGGTCCTTTTCATGGCCCTGGAATATGGATTCATGACTGCTTGCGCAACAGTACCCGCCGCCACCCTCGCATCGGTCATGACTCTCCCACCATACAATTTTACTTCGGCCCAGATCGGCCTGATGGGACTTGCGCCATTTATTGGTATTAGCTTGGCAACCATAGTCTGTGGCCCATTAAGTGACTCCATCGCGCTTCGACTTGCCAAGAGAAATGGGGGCGTGTTTGAGCCTGAGATGCGGCTCTGGCTCTCCCTAATCTTCTTGCCTCTTATTCCAGCGGGCCTTCTCATGTTTGGAATTGGTCTCAACAATGGATCTCACTGGATTCTTCCGGCATTCGGGTTGGGAATCAATGCGTTTGGTGTTGTGCCTACCGGCAGTACTGCACTCACTTACTTAACCGATGCGTACACTGATGTAAGTCATAAAGTTGAAAAATACACGAACTTATCTAACTCTAGGTCATAGATTATCGCTGATTCGGTTGTTGGGGTTACTTTCATCCGTAATCTGATCTCGACAATCTTTGTTTTCGCCCTCGTACCATGGGTCGACCGTGTCGGGTTGACATGGTTCTTCGTGACCTTTGGCTTAATTGCCACGATCATCATGCTCGGAAATGTAATCTTCATCTACTTTGGAAAATCTTTCAGAGTTCGTTTCGCCGGGAAATATCGCTCTTTCAGTGCGCAAAGACTCGGCGCGACCTGATAGGATAATAAGGGTATATAGCGACATTTTAGCTGATAGCTGTTGCGTCTCGAAAGCAGTATCTGTAGCCAAAGACATCAATTTCTGCGAATTTTAACTTTTATGGTAAATCAAGGAGCACTAATTTAGAGTAGGCTTACACACCTACCACGGGGTTTCAAGTACGAGGTTATCACTTAAGATTCAAATACGAGGTAATCGCACTAGATTAGCTAGGCTAGTGGTGTGTATCGGAACCCGCGGGGCTTTCACTACACCCGAGTATTTTAGTTCCAAGGTCACAATTTCAATTCAAACCATAAGATCTCGACTTAACAACAAGTCTTAATTCAAATACGAGGTTATCACACTAGATTAGCTACGCTAGTGGCGTATATCGGAATCCGCGGGTCGCGGAGCTTACATTTCACCCGAGCATTTTAGGTCTAAGTCACAATTTCAGTTCAAGTTTAAAAGATTTCGGCGAGATGAGCCAACCACAAGAGGTATTTTATGCCGGTTACACTCTGGATTTCCGAGTTGTGCGGTGGTCCTGAAGTGTATAGGAGCGAATAACAAACCTCAAATTGGGGTATGGGGAACTTTGATAGCAGAGTAGTCTAGAGCCGAGATTTCGCGCTAAGAAGTCAACAGATGATCCCCCATCTTAAGCTACATTTTCAAATGCATTCAATGGCTCAGATTTTAAAGACATTGTGAACAACTCATTCTGTCTTTTCGAAGATGATGATCTATGAGGTCGCTGCTATTGAGTTAAGTCCGTAGGTAAGCTCGGAATGCTCAAAATAACCCCCAATCATCCAGCAACCACGTATGAATTTGCTGGCCTCTAGGAACCTAATGATTCCGATCACCAAAGGGCTGTATCATTTATCAGGGATGCGGCCACTACGGGGGGCATACCAGGAGTCCATCCAGAGTACCATCTGGCCGATTTCACCCTAGGGAAAGACCCCGAAATTCGCAAGCAATGCGCCAACTAGAAGAAATAACTCGGTGCATATTGCGCTCTAGTCAAAGAGCGCAACCACTGTATTGTCCCAGGATTTCTGGGGGATTGCATGATGATGGTGCAATCGTCAATGTGGCGTACTTCGTCGACAATGCCGGCGCTATTAAAGGAAATATGAGAAAAAGAAATCTCTGGCCCTCCGAACGGCCTTTTGTGAAGAGCTCAGAAAATGATAGCCCTCATGTCGCTTTTGACACACCTCTTGGGAAAATTTGGATTGCTGATCATAAGAAAATGTCATATAGGGCCACCTCATGATTGTGTCCATCATCGGGTAACTCAGTATACGTGCTGTGACTTGTTGACAATCCAAACCCGGGATAGGCCTTATGCAGCGGTTAGAGATAGACCCTCCGCTAAAAAATGTCCGACTAGGACAAGTCAGATTTCTCCTTCCATTTGCGGCGAACAATATCTCGTAATTTCACATATAACGGTCGTATAGCCGGCGCGCCCGCGCATAGATGTGCCACGGCGGTTTCTGCGCAGGTCCAGTAGATCGTACCAGCATTCGAGTAGGTCGGATCACGAATTGCTTCGACGTTTCGGAGAGTTGGTACTCGGGCAGATGCGACGCCTATGACACTGAAGAGAATATTAGCACTTTATCTCGAGACGCATGTCGAGCTCTGTCTTACAAAATACCACATCCAAAAAGACCATACAATCCAATCTTTTGCGCTATCGGGGCGCGAAGTGTTCGAAGCAATGGTAGTGGCAGGATAAAAACTGCGATGTCAGTGGCAATGTTCACTCCTGCACTTGCATAGGCTACTCCTGAGATGCTGAGGCACCTCGCATCCTCCCGTTTCAAATCCCAGATTACGTGGATCGGTACGCATTGCCAGATAGTCATAGGGACAAGAATGATGAAAGCCACCGTTGTGAAAACCATTGTGCCTATCACACAATATCGGAAGAGTGGAATCTCTGGGAAGATTCGAAGGTAGAGGAAAAGGATCGACATCTTGATGAAATAGATCATGACCAGCCAGAATATCCGTGTGAGGTAATCTTATATGGGATTAGATATCGATTGACAGGGTTCAAAATATGGGGAAAGTATACTCACACCAGATCGCCAGGCGAGTGACCTGCGACATGGATGAGAAATTGATATCGTATGAGTGGTATCCCATTCCATCATTCACACCTAATTATTGACGTTAGCAGCACGAAATAAATCTGGAGCTTCAATGACATACACAAATTATTGAAGATAAGTAATGGTATCATAAGCACCTAAGCCAAAAATGTGAAGTCAGCATCGCGTCTAAAACCTATTCTTAGTGGCATCGAACCATACCCCGGAAAAGCTGTGACTCCAATCATCCCACCAAAATCTGCGCAATGTATACGCCCTTGAAATCATACGTAATACCACGATGAGGAGGCTAGCTACCCCACTCACCACGATCGCGGCTCTCAAAGAGCCACGGTGGTTGTCATGAGGCCGGTCGCATTCTTGAGCCCACAACTGCGCCGCCACTGTAGATTATCAATGTCTTAACACTTTGCTGTAGAGGCACATTTCGGGAGACGGACAAATTGCCTCTCCGATTTCACACTTTGACATTATGCAACGGGAGATATGGATGTCGAAGTTCCTGTTCGTGCATCGGCACTTGAGATCCGATAATCCGCAGTCGTCAAGTAGGAGACTGTCTGATACGCATTCCCTCTATAGACGTAAGGTCAGTGTTGAATCGCAGTCCCGTTAATAAGGACTCAAACACTTACTATACATGATGGCAAGCTGTCAGAGACCGGAACACTGTAAATCCCAGACGTAGCAGCCGACCGGACGCATAACCACAGGAGAAGTGACAGAATAGCACGCTTCATCCTATTTAACAATGACGAGGTGAATGGCTTTTACTCATCGCAGTGAGGATTGGAAGGACAGGTCTCAAATGTATCACTTGCATGTCTATCCATCATCTGCCAGAAATCCAACCACGGCATTTGTTCTCCAACGAATCGTACCTCCGCACCTTGAAACAATCAAACCATGGTACTATTGAGCGCCATGAGGCCATTCTGTTCTAGAGTGTATATTATTTTCGCATCGATATAGGGTGCTTGGGTACAACGACGTAATGATTCAACTCTATTTGTTGGGGGAAACCGTTCGCATTCGATATACCAAGAAACTCACTATGAAAATGTCAACGGGGCTTACCTGAATGTCTATTGGTCAAATCCCTCTACTTTGGATTGGATGAAAGTGATGACAAAGAAAAAAAAGAATGATATTGATTCCAGATATTCCAGACATACCTGGTCCTAAAAGTCTGTTCCGTAGGTTGAAATGAAGGGGCATAGCTGCAATTTGCACTTCACGACTTAAAACACCAATCTTAGTGTCTGATAAGAGCAGAACGCTTTTGTTTTTTCCACGCTGGTGCATGGCAGGCGGCCTAAGCCCTCCATTTTTGCGTCACCGGGGCCCAGTTCGTTAATTTTATTTTAAGAAGGAAAAGAGATTGCATGAGCAGCATGACCGAGTATCTCAAGAGACACGGGCACGATGAAAATTGAGGTCCATCAAATATTAGATCGGAAGATATACAAAACTGTGGGGCAAAGCGCTCCTTTGGGTATAGGCTGAGCGTCGACTGGGTGCTTAATAGATTGCCTATGGTGAACAATCTGAGTAATCAGTGATGGCTGAGGTCAGTGAGCAGCCAATCAGATTTACTCAGTGAGTCTGACTCTGAGTGTCATAAAAGCGGCAGCAGCTAAAAGAGGAAATGCCTGGCATAGGAAAAATGTTACGTATAGTGACCTAAGTAAAGTGATTTAACATAAGATAAGAGAGAGGGTATAAAAAAAACCGGTTGCCTTGGTAGTTGTCTGATTGACCTGCCGATCCGTTCTCAGATCTACTCCGCAAAAGCGGCGGGGGGAAGAGTACTAATACGGAAAGAGAGATATCGTGTATGCAGTCTGACAGCCAAGTGCTGCACGATGTATCTATTGTATCACACATCCTCTACATTAACATATCAATGGGATCTGAGAGGTTATTTCTACTCCATGTGTACAACAGACATATTCGACAACATATTCTGTGCCACAATATAAAATATAATCTCGGATATTGAATCCCTCAATTTCGATATTATGATTGGTAGATCTAGTTAGATCTTCTTTTTTTTTTTCTTTTTTTTTTGACTAGAAACCCCCACAAGCCTACCTATGTCTTTTTCGTTTTGGTTAGGAACACCTCGGGTGGATAAAGTCCGAGCTGAGGCCGAGGTTTGACGGAAAAGATTAATTAATATTGGGGCTGGACTCCGCTATATATTGTACGGAGTACACAGAATTTAAATTCCAACCGAGAAATTATGCCAAGAACTTGATTATACTGCATTATTGAACATATTTCCAATTACAGCAATCTAGGTACTATGGACTCACTACTGACACTATGTGTAGATCATTGTGTAGATCATAATATAGCATGCTAAGCAGAATGGAATTTAGCAATATGGAACTAAAAAATATGCTGGCAAAGATATCTCGTATCTCATGTCAATTCGTATCCAGATCTCTCGAAAACTCTCCCCTTATAGACTTTACCGCCCCATGCGAATAACACCGGCAGCCATCAGCTTCTGAATCTTCATCCGCACCTGAGGGTTCTTCATGTGCTCCTGCAGGGCAGCGGGGTCACTCTTGGCCTGCTGGAGTATGCTCTGCATAACGGGGTCCTGAAGGACGGCCATGATCTGGAGAGAGAGTTAGTATACTTCATGATAAACAATCTGGTTTCGGGAACTATAGATCTTACCTCGGGGTCGTTTTGGATACGGGCCATGGTCTGTTCCTCGGTCTCACCAGCGCGAGCGCTGAACTGGGCGTCCAGGCACTTCTGCTGCTGCTGCTCGATCTCGCGGGCGTGCTTGCCATCGTCGTGCTCGGCGGCCTCGGTGAAGGTGTCCAAGGCGCGGTTATACTCCTTCATGGCGATGAGGGCAGCACCCTTACGCATGTACGCGCGGATGAACTTGGCATCGCGCTTGATGGCCTCGTCACAGTCCTGCACGGCACCGGGGAAAGCCATGAGCTTGATAAGGGCGGCAGCACGGTTGGAGTAACCGCGGGGGTCATTGGGGGCACGCTTGGTCATCTCGGTGAAGGCCTCAACGGCAGCGGGCCAGTCGCCTTCCTGGAACTTCTGCTGGCCGAGCTCGCGAGCCTTCTCAGCCTCAGCAGGGTCTATGTAGGCGTTCCTCTCAGCCGTGATCTTGGTCTTCTCGGCGTTGCGGAGCTTGGTTAGGGTATCAGGGGTGCGGTGCTCCATGAGTGACTTGTTGTAGAATTCGATAGCCTGAGCGAGGTCGCCAAGCTTCTCGTATGAAGAACCAATTCGGGTGTAAGCCTTGGCCATCAGCTTAAAGTCGGCGCGCAAATCGCGGCCCTCCTCGACAGCCTTTTGGCAGGTCTCAATTGTGCCTTGGTAATCGGCCTTTTCGAACTTAGCCGCACCGATGTTGTTCAGGTAGGTAATATCCTTGAAGAGGTCCCAAGCCTTGGTGTAGTGCTCAATGGCCTCATCGAGCTGCTTCTTCTTGTAGAAGTCGTTACCGATCTTCTTCTCGGCGTCAGCAGCCTCCTTGGCCTGCTTCTTGGCGATTGCCTCCTCGTCGACAGGCTCGGGTTCCGGGGTAGGCTCCTTCTTGGGCTGTGCGGTGCTGGGGGTAGCAGCAGGCGCAGGAGGCTCCGCTCCCTCACCACCGAAGTTCATATCAATACCGAGAAGCACACTCATAACCTGCAGGAAGCGGGGGTCGCGGATCTCTTCTCCAACACTGTTGGGGTTCTGTTGGATCTTCTGCAGTTTAGCCATGAACTCAGCATCTCCCAGCAGGGGGGCGGTCTTGGGGTTGTTGGCCAGCTTCTGGAACAAAGCCGGGTCATTGAACATGCCACCGAGACCTCCTGTTGGGTCTCCAGTGACACCATCTGCGGTAGCCTCCGCATTGATGGCGCGCTGGGTCGCATCCAGACCGGACTTGGCCTGTGCGTTGCCGGGCTCGATCTTCAGGGCCTCATCGTAGGCATCGTGCGCAGCCACTGCTGTCAGTTAGCACATTTTCACAGGACAAGTTGTTCCACATATGCGTAGCTAGAATAACATACAGAGATCTCCGAGACCGCGGTACGCAGCACCCTTGCGGGCATATCCCTTCGACCAATCGGGCTTGATCTCGATCGCCTTCTCGGCATCTTCGAGAGCTTTTTGATATTCGTGCTGGGCGGAGTAGACAGCAGAGCGGTTGGAGTAGAGGATGTGGTTTTCGGGCTCGATGGAAAGCGCCTCAGAGAATTTCTCACTGGTCTATATCAGTCTCTGCTTTGACAGCGTCACAATGTTCAAGGTGGGGTAGCTCGTACATAGCAGTAGGATAGTCCTTAGCAGAGAAGGCCTTGTTGCCCTCGGCTTTCAATGCGTCAGCCATGTTGTTGTGATATAATGAATTGCTCAGTAAGAGGAGAAACACAGATCAAAAACTAGCACCACAAGGAACTGAATGTGATGAGCTCATCAGTCGGTCGGAGCTTCTCGAAATTTCCGTTGGTCTCTATTGCCTCAGGCAGAAGTCTTTTGAGCCTCAGGCAATAGGCACCTCAGGCACTAAAGCTGACATTGAAGCTCCGCCAAGCTAAACCCGTTTAGGTCAAAGTCGCTCCCCGCCGAGAAAAAGTCGCCAAAAAAACACCATCTGTGATTCATTCGTGACTCAAATTTACGGACATCGACGCAACATGGTCCTCTAACTTACCTCCTGGCTCTATCACGCTCCCTCGAACATGAAAACCCACGAGCCTCTTCGAATGAACTTTGATTTTGCCTGATATCTCCGTCGCATCTCCAACAATGGCCTCCGCGGGGTCCCAAGTGGCCGAGCTTGCCTCCAAGCTTTACGATGCATGCGTGAATGAATTTGACTCCGATCACCTGTTCTACCAGAATGACTTTCTCAATCTCAAAGTCATCCCAAAGAACGACGTCGCGCTACTGCTAGAATGCACTCAGAGCCTCGTCAATCAAAATCTGTTCCGACTTCTCCAAAAAGATGGAAAGCTCACATGGAAGCTCATTGACCGCGAGGATGCCGAGAAGTAGGAATTGCACAGATCTATCTGTCCATGAACCTCATAACTAACCCCTCCTCCCTTTCACAGGCTCCGGAACCTCACCCCGGATGAGGCCATGGTCTACAATGTCATCCACTCCACAGAACGAACAGGTATCTGGGTGCGGCACATCGGAAACCGCACGAACCTGCACAAGTCGATCCTCGATCGATGCCTGAAATCCCTCGAAGGAAAAAATTACATCAAGTCCCTCCACAATGTCAAATACCCCAGCCGAAAAATGTACATGCTGGCCGGCCTTGCTCCGAGCGAAGAAGTAACCGGAGGAGCATGGTTCACGGATGGCGTACTGGATGCCAACTTCATCAACAGCGTCGCAGGTTATATCGAATATACTGTGAGCCGGAGGAGCTGGTACGAAGTCCCCGCCTCAGACCGCAAGAAGCGCATCAAGACCGCCTCCGGCAAGGTGGACGTCAAGTCCGACGAGAAAACTTACCTCCCCTACCCCCACGGCTACGCAGGATACCCGACCGTGGCACAGATCACCTCGGCCGTTAACGAAAGTGGCATCACTCCCGTTCGCCTGGGCGAAGAGAGCGTGGTGCAACTCCTGGAAATGCTCTGCTATGACAACAAGCTCGTCGCATTAGGCAACGGTGAGTGGTACAGATCCCGCAAGAGCCCTGAGGCCGTCAAAGCGGCACAGGCCCGCAAGGTGCCTACCCTCGAGGGCGACGATCTCGCCGTTGCAAACAAGCACCTTGTAAAGAACGGTATGACAGAAGCCCCCTGCGGCCAGTGCCCAGTGTTCAAGCTGTGTGCGCCTGGTGGTGCAGTGAGCCCCGAGACCTGCGAGTACTTCGATCCGTGGCTGAGCAATGGGCTTGGGTTCTGAGTGGATTGGCAAAATGGCTTTTCCACCAACATCTGATTTCTGACTTTCGGCGCTCTGCGTGCGCCCGTGTGCCAACATGTTTGCATGGAAGAAACAAAAAAAGGGGATATGTGCATAGCGATGGCGTTTTCGACTTGATTTGGTTAGGCTCCGGCTCACTGGTGACCCTAGGAATATTGGGCACTGTAGATGGGCACGGCTTGGACATACGCTTGGATCTAGCTGGGAATGGATACCTAAGGGGGGGGGAACTCTGCTTCCTATTTTTCCCTCGAGGATTAGTGTCAGTTTTTGTCTAGAATAGACAGAAGATGAAATTGATTCCGTTTAAACAGTTTCGAATTGTAAAGTAAAACTAGTGAACAAGTAGATACTTTTGTCCAACGCAGTCTAGCCCTAACACCTTAAAAGTCCCTCAAACGCCGTGGGTATATCAACCGTCATACAGATCATGGAAAAAGAAGAGAACAAAAGATCATTTGCCCAGAGTACGTCTGCACTCATCGCAGTACCAAGTCCCAACCGGCTCACGCGTCAATCCAACACACTTCCAGTGGAACCATTCGTAGGGACACTCATCATTGTCGCAAGCCACCATATCCCCATGGCTAACAGTGCGGCAGGTGCAATAGACCTTTGAATCCTCATTACCCTCATCTTCATCCTCATCTTCGACATCATCGTCAGCAGCACCATCACTCTTGTCGGAGTCTGATGTATCAGCACTGCTGAGCATGGAGTCATCATCCTCATCGCCTTCCCCATTGGGAGACTTCTTCGAAGACTTGATGCGACCACTGGCACTGGAAGAACGCTTGATCGGCTTCCCGCTCGCAGTCTTCAGCTTCTTGACTTGCTGGTGTGGCGCGACCTTCTTGGTAAGTGCCTTTTTGACGCCGATGCTAACACGGGGGCCGACACTGCCTGCACGACTGCCTGCCGGTGTGCCCGGCTTCGGTGTGCCAGGGCCCGTGGAAGTCTGGCGCAGGTTCGACGATGCTACGGGGAGGGTGTTGGAAGAGGGGTTCAAGCGGCGACGCTTACTGTCCACTGCCCCGGCAGAGGATTCGCGTTGGCGTTGTTGGAGGTGTACGACAGCCGCTGCAGCGGGTGTAGCGGGTGCGGAGCTACGCGCTGTGACCTGGCCGAGCTGGGCTGTGGAGCCGGGGGTGCGAGGTGCTGTGGATTGGTTCAAGCGCTGCGCAGCGGCCAGGATGGGATTCGCGTTTCCAGAAGTCGGGTTGAGGGGTGTTGAGTAGGCGGGGGAGTCGGAGGGTGCAGAGTCAGGGAGGAAGATCTTTGGTGGGTTGCGGTATTTGTTTTTCGAGTCAAAGAGGGAAGGGAGAGGCGGGTCGTTGCTGAGGAGGCCTTCGTTGACTAGATCACGAATGCGCACGTCGAGTCGTTTGATCTGGCGATCAAGGAGGACGCAGGCCTTCTCGCTGAGCTGGATCTTCTCGTTTTGTAACTCGTGGGCTTTGTCCATATTCTGTAGAATTGTCTTGCCGTATGGCTCTTCTTTTGGGTTCGGTGTCAGACTGCCATTCAGTTTGATGAATTTCTGGATGCTGCTGTCGCGCGAGTTGATTGTAGCGCGGCATTCCTGCATAACCTTGTCCTTGGCCTGGATTTCTTCCATAAGGTGGTTGATCTCAGCTGGAAGATTCGCTACATCGTGAACGAACTGCTCCAGGACAGTTGCGCAGTCCTCCGCACCATGTGCCATTTTGGACTCGGTCGTCGGGCGGGTTGAGGGTGGCTCCTATCGCGATGCTGGAAGAGTGGTGTGCAACTCAACCGAGTTCGATATAATCGTTCGCTCCGGTACTGATCTTATTGTTTTAAATTTTGATGACTAGATAAACCTCTGGCCTTTGCTTGCGTTGATATTCGGACGCCCATCATAGGGACAAATTGGTTGGAAGTCGAACGTTTGCTGACTCATTGCTGACTCATCTTCCGATTGGCTCCATCCATGGATCTCTCCATACCTTCAACATTGTAGATTATTCGAACCACTACTAGATGTAGGATTCTGAGCCCTATCTATCTTACATCTTATATTTAGACTAGAAATAGCCTTTTATGCAGTAACAAATAGTTCATCTGTTCTACACGACGCCTTCTTGACTTCGTTTCAAGTAGATTTGGTCCAAAATAAGCTCGACACACTTTGATTGAGCTCTCATCGCAAGCTGTTGGGCTGTTTAGATGATTGTAGGTCTAGGATCAGAGCTTTGTTTAGACTGTTTAACTGCGAAGTGCCTTTTGAATAAAGAACGTAGTCGTCAAGAATTGGATCATTGAACTCCTGTATGAACTTCTAACAGATTCACTTTGTAAGCTCTTGCCCGGAATGTTTTCCTATTTCTCACTTATATCCCATCTTGCTTCTAAGAATTCATCAAATTATCTCCTACACATTGGTTAAGGGGACCCATACGAGATATATGACAGATATGACCTACCATCTCGGATTGGCCTAACTAAAGTGGATTGCATACACTCCATTAGATTGATATTGCTAGACATAGATAGTAAGTGAGCGTAAAAATTGCATACATCTTGTTTTGAGATAGATATGATATGTGAACTCTGAAGTTCTGCCTTAGAAAGCCACCTGCTATCGGCGTTCATATTTGACAGGCAGCATTGGTGTATGGGTTTACAGCGTTTTGATATATCGTTGGGTGAGCTACAAGTGTTCCACGCTTGTGAAGTATTTTCTGTCGTGTAGTAGAAATGAGGGACTACGCTTAATCATAGTGCGAGCGAGAATAATGCACGCAAAGGAGACATGCGAAGAAGTTAACTATAAGGTGTCGTAGGCATTATTTTGTCAGTAAGACTGCAAGATATCACCCGCGTACTGAACAGAGCACTCGAAGACCACATCATTGAATATCAAAACTGAGTCTATTAATCAATTCTCAGACCTCCTCAACCCCTCGACTGTCAACCCTCTTGGACTATCTACCTTCTTCAGCTCTCAACTCTCTTCGAATATTGTCCCCCTTCAAAAGATACCGTTGCTATTGCAAAGAAGCATCCACGTCCTCAGGAGTTGGTCTTTCTAAGATTCCGTTGCCTTGTTCTGGGAATATTTCACCCAGTTTGAGACTCTACTGAGACATACCTTTCTCAGTCTACCCATCTCATACATCACTTTGGAGAATTCTTTAGTGTGTCCAATGTTCTTTTGAATTATCTTTCTAATCGATCTTCGAATCCTTCCAATTGCTTTACTCTCATGTCATCTAAATCGAGATATCTAGCAACTTACCTCTGCCATTTCTCGCATCGTTCCGCACCGTTATGTCTTCCAAAACTCCGAATGGCCACCACGGACGTGACAACATGTCACAAGGTACCAAATCTAGACATGCACAAATGACCTCTGAGACTTCTAGCACAATAAACACCTTCACAGTCTCGAAGAATGACCCCATTTGCCAACAATGGGGCTCTATCTTGCGCACAATTGTGCGTAACATAGGATCGAACAGGTGTGTGCCTTATCGTTTGTGTTAGACGAGGGCTAAGCACGAATCCTAGGCATTGCACCACTACTGTACTAGTGGTGTGCAATTTACCCTCCCCTCCTAAGCATATGAACAACTCAAAGGCCAATATCAGAAAGCTCCTGATATTGAGCAACCTTCGAGAAGTCGCGGTCGAATTTGTCCAAGGAGAGTTTACCCGGGAATTTAGTGGGAACGAACTAGATCGTCGGGCGATCCGGCCACCATCCATGCTAGGCCAAAGTCTGGCATTGGATGGTGTGTCCTGATCGGGCACATTTGGCGGGTTCGTGGAGTTGAAGCTGCCCGGAGAAAAGAGGTATAGGACAATGGCGCTCACTTGCTTCCACTGTATAAACCCAAGTGAGAAGGGTGCAGATCCTACTCTTGTGGAGACTATTCGCAGCTGGCGACAAGAAGGCATAAAGCCTGTGGACAGCTTGAGAACGAAGCTTCAAGACCAACAGCCCAGCTCAACCGCCGTCGAAGAAAAGATCAAATCCCTCAAAGATGAGATTCGTACCATAGAAGAGAATCAGCAATATATCGATTTTCGCGAAGTCGGGAGCATCGAAGATATCGAGCTTCAACTAGGCCGACATGCAGCTCGAATGTTCTCTAATATGGACAAGACCCTATCAGAGCTGAAGGACTTTCTTCGAGAGATCAATGCCTTCCAAGCGGAAAATCGCGGGTCTTTCGGGCCTGTCTATGCTGGTTCTGGGTTCCGAATAACTGGGAAACCATCATCAAACTTGGATTGGGCTCTTATAGAGATTCCAGATGATCGGGTGGGAGATAATATAGTAAGACTTCAATGTTTTTCTCCTCGACACCCATTTTGTGGGTTTGTCCAAATACTAATATTCGTCTCTATTTTTAGACACCCGATGGCTATTATCTGAAATCGTCACCCATACCTGAAGATCTCGATGAAATGCCCGTTTTCATTCACGGCCAGCGGTCAGGCTATCGTAAGGGGATAAAAAATCCCCTTGAGTGTGCCGCCCTCACCCATGAGATCGAGGATGGGAAAGTCATATCCCGCATCACTTATGAGCATTCGATTGTTCCACAGCGTGGCTCTCACTTTTCTGAACCGGGTGACTCCGGCTCACTTGTCTTCACCGAATCTCATGTGGTTGTCGGCATGCTGTTTGCCGGCGGCCAGAGCCACAGACTATCCTTTTTCACGCCCATTGAAACTATTATCGAAGATATCAAGAACATCACCAAAGCCACTGATGTTCGGCTCAAGATAGAGCGCTCTGAAACTTTTCCCTAGCGTACCTATATCTTCCTATCCTGTCCGTCTTCACCAAGTGCTTTGTACGCTCAGCATCTTGAGTTCAGTGGTGCATTTCTACAGTTACAACTCCCATCATTTAGTTGGATCCAATAAATGAAGAAGCAAAGTTCATCTTTGCATTTCAGCGAAGAAAATAGTTTGTTTCGGCAATAGACACATATGTATCCATACCTAAGCTGGTAAAATTGTAATCAGGGTATTTTCTTCAATTCCAAAGTAATGGCGAGCCACATAGTATCAGTCTGATGATTCCTTGCTACTGCACAATTCTCCCAGTCTGTTACTTGCTTGTCCCTATCATGTCCTTCTTTCTCCCGGATAAAATAAGCCCCTCCAGTTTTTGCCCTTTGTGATAATGACCCCCACCATAGGAAGATTCATGTCATCCAGCAGCTTCACAATATGATCCCTTGTGGCGCGCCAGTCTCGATGGGTATCATATCGTACGTCCATGCTCACAGTAAGCGGCGGCCTCTCTCTTCTATCAGCCTTTCCCGTACGGTTTATGCGAAGCCCGATCATGTCCGTGACGTCGACTTCGGCTTGTATTTTCTGTAGTATGTCCATGTAGACTGGCCAAATAGGATCAGTTTTTCGTATTGGCCGCACGGACCATGGCGTGAACTCGTAGTCCGATATTTCAACATTGACTTGTTCAAAGCCGGCATCGGCTAAACGTCTCCAGATTTGGCGACATGCCGTGACCCAAGAGTCATCAAAGGTGTCACGAGTTGCAGAGAAGATCAAAGTTGGCAAATATTCGAGCTCATTCATGAATTCGTACTCGCATTTTTGAAGCCTCATCGAGACTGCGTTTATTTTGTGTTTGGTGAGAGTTGATAAAATTGATTGGAGGAGAGCAAGATCCTGGTGGATCTTGCGCAGAGGATCATTGGGTTCCAATTCGCGCTTGGTAACGGGCAAAGGAAAAAGGTATAGCCCTCCTGCCCTTCTAGCTTCATTGATAAATCCATCAGGATCAACGTGCCATCTACCGATGTCATCATTGCTGTCGCAGCTGGTCCGAATGCGAGAGCCATCTTGAACTGGAGAGGCGTATGCGCAGATATGTTGGGAGCCTCTGGATATTCTTGGCTCAAGTTCATCAGTATCGACCGGGTCTTGTGATGATGCAGTTGAGCTAATAGGCGAGAGAGAACTGGGGCCGACTGGGGAGAACGTGTTGGAGCCCTCCTGGGAGGACAAGCCAGAGCCTTCGTTACTGGCAGAATCCGACGCGTCCTTGCTTTCCATATCAAGATTCCCCTGCGTAAAATCACCAGATATAACGCCAGGGTTATCAGAGCCGGTGTTATCGGCAGAGACCGTGTCCGAGCCATCCTTAGCAGCAGGATCCCACAAAATAACGGTTTCGGCGTCGGAATCGGACTGAGAAGATGTGTCCCAGACGGCATTTGGCTGAGAATCCAGGTCTTCCACAGAAAGATCACCAATATCCCCCTGGATGAGATCACCAGGTGTAACGTTGGATTCTTCGTAGCTGCAGTTATCGGCAGGGGCGGTGCCAGGGTCATGCTTTGCGGCAGGGTCCCACCAAATAACGGTTTCAGTGTCGGAATCGGACTGAGAAGGTTTTTCCCAGACATTTTGTGGTTGAGGCCTTGGGCTTTCCTCAAAGGAATCGTCAAACAAACCGTTGGTTTTCAAGACCTTGCTCTCTGGAAAGGTCATGTGAAATCTGTCGGGAGATGAGCTATCAGGCGAAGACGAGCTGGAGCCATTTGATGAAGATGTGTCAGATCCATCTTCAGATGACGAGTCAGAGCTATCAGGAGAGGAATTATCGAATGCGATAGCGTTTCCAGTGTCAGGTACCCCATGAGAGGATAATTCGAACTTGGATTTAGCTTCTAGATCGAGACTGGTCGCAGAAGCATCAGACATGGTGACCGGTTGGGACTCGAATTTTTTCCGGGTAGGCTTGTCGCGCATAGTGAGAGGGGGATGTTCAAATCTAGGTCCAGCGGACGCCTCAGACATGATTTCAAGGTATCAATAAACGATAAAAACGCAGGCCAGAAGGTTGTGTAAACGGTGTGGTGGTACTTCTCAAACTTTACAGGATCTGGGATGAAAGTTTGCCAAAGCTGCAGAAGTTGGAAAGGATAAGCTGAGGAGAAAGTGTGGAGAGTCTTTAGAGGCAGGTGGAGTATACCTATGCGGCTCAGAATGCTTGGCAAACCTTAAAAGGCCCAGTGAATAGAAAGTCAGAGAGCAGTCTACTTCCAAGGTTCCTCCTTTCTATGACAACCCGTTGACTCAATATTATTGTCAATCAGGTCTAGATGACTTGAGGCTAGGCTTGTACTGGTCTTACTTACACTAAGGTGAGAGTTCCATTGGTTGGTCTATCGAGAATCAACCAATATTGCAATGGCCAATAGGACGTAGATTAAAATACCATAATCATATAGTTAATAGCTTAGGGAAATAGCGAAGTAGTGATTATTTTCATCATATGACCAACGGATAGCCACCTTGAGGGACCTCCAAGCTGACTCGACATCAATGTCACCTTTTTATTTGCAATGATATCCAGGAAGCGAGCTGATTGAATCGCCAACATAGCCCCACGGAGGGTCACAATTGCCAGTATCAAGGTTGAAGAGATAAATGCGACCTAGTTCTCATATTAGTATGTTTTATGCCCGGCAATTGTCTAGTAGAAAAATGAATCATAGAGCTTTTACCATCTCGGCACGCACAATGCGTACCAATCCCACAATGAGGGGACGCACTGTAGGATTGTCAATAAATTCTTTGATATAGCCTATATTTGCCAACCCACAATGGAAAGCAACCACTTGCAGGGGGGCCGTCATTGCTGTTCATCTCAACAGCCGGGGCTGCCGCCACCATGGCACCATTCATAAGACCAATGAAGAAAACAATAGCCCTCATGGTGTGAAAGAGAAAGATATTGTTGACTTGGTTATAAGATTATTTCTTCGACAAACAACTGGTTGGCACCGCTGGCTTGCTCTCTTTTATATTGCTCTACGTTACACTCTATCCAACAATCCTTATCTAGGTTCTTTTCTTCCTCCATCCATATACTTTTATTCATCCTCCCGAAGATAGTACAGAATAGTAACCCGCTAAAAGTTAAGTGCCTGATCCCACACCATTCTGACTGCTTTTGATCATTTTAAGTCGTATCGGGATATAGTCATATCTGTATAACGCAGTAGACCAATATATCACTAAATATGATTCGGAGTTTTCTTAGTCTGCAAATGATTAGCCAATACCAGCCAAAAATCCGAGTTCGGCGCCATGAAGTTAATAAAACTCCGTTTCTGTTGAAAAGGCAATATTTTGACAGTCAATTACCTAAAAGAAAACAAAGTATCTCCCATTTTGTATAGCGGTCGTATATGGTAGGAATTCTGATTGTGGAAGGTCCTGTGACACATTCATGCAGATAGTGCTTGCTGAATCTCCTGCCCTATGTGGGCTCTCTTTGTATCCAATAAGCCATGCTAGTTGTATGAATTAGATTGTCTTTCTTCTTCTTCTCTTCTTTTCCATCGTCCTTCCTATTTTATGCACTTTTCTACACAAATTCACTCAAATTTGACTGAAGCAGCTGCGAGATGATGTTAGGTAGGTGAAGACAAACATGGGGCCTTGACGTCAGCCCCTCCTATATAGAGGGCCTACCTGCACAGCTATTTGCCTTCCCTTTCCTTCACTTCGCTTTTGCTTTTCCCATCACCTTATAAAAAATTAATTATTTATTCTATATCCTCGTCGAACTTCCCTAGCCTTTTCGTGGGCGAGCTATTATATCGCTTCTTCTGCCTTTTATCATCGAAGATGCTCTAGGTGGGTATCAACCACCGTCATTGCTGCTAGGCTCTCCAAATTGCATCTCTGTGAATGGATTAACGTCAGAGTATACCATTATATAAAGCTAATCTAACTCGAGAACTTCGCTGCTCGGTGTTCGATAGCTCCATCCCTATATAACTGGCCTGAACCATTGGTGTACCCGCAAGAGAAAGTATGGTGCATAACTATATGCTCTTCATTTTAATTATCATTCCCTTCCTCTTTTTTCACCGTCACTTTTCTTTCTTCCTTTAGCTTACTTGACAATCAAGTCAAATTTCTAACGGATCAGATGCCTTTGTCAAGATGACTGCAGGTCACAGGGCTATACTCTGAGCCACGAACCACGCGCTCCGGAGCCTTCTAGCAGGATGAACACCTTCCTCACCTCAAAGAGCCATGTTGCTTGCAAATAATAGTCGGCAGTTTTGCGGATCATTGTGAAGAAAACACAAACCGCACGGGGATATCCATGATTGCGTGCATGCGGCGAGGAAAAGGCACAAATCACAGCCACTGTGTTGGTGGTATGCCACTGCAAGGAACCCCCACCACCGAAAGGAGCCAGCCGGACATATCCACAGGCTACTTGACCAAAATAACCTAAGGGAAGTCTCTGTCGAGTTAATACAAGGAGAGTTTTCTCGGGCCGGATCGGAATTGGAGGGCAAAGAGCTGGATCGGCGAGCTGTACAACTCCCCTGTATGATTGAGGAAAGCCTGGACTTGCGTCGGGCATTCAACTCGGCACATTTGGGTGGCTTCTGGAACTTAAGATGCCCAGAAATGAAGAATAGCTTTGGGGTTGACATGTTTCCACGTTGTCAACCCAAGTGAGAAAGGCCTGGACTCAGAATTCCTCGAAAAGGTGAGAGAATGGCGAGAGGGTGGCATAATGCCAGAAGATGACATGAGGAAGCGTCTTCTCATCGAGCACCCCAGTGCAAGTGCCATCGAAGGGAAGGCCATATCCCTACAGAAAGAAATAAGCGCGATTGAGCAGGATGAGATGTCTCCAACTTACATGGCAATTCCCAGGGAGCCTGCGGAGCAGAGTTTGATGAGCAGAATAATTACAACCCGGAGTCGATGCCGTCTCGACAGAGCATTAGGTCTAGACTCCTCCCCTAGGAGTCAGTGGGCCAACATAAACATACTACCATTAGTATAGCGGTCAAAGCGATATTGGCAAGGAACCTCTCGCCAAGGCCCCGAAATCTAGGATTGACGATCAGGTAGAGTGTAGCTCGTTAGTGAACACACTGATCTCCATGGAAAAGCGAAAGGCCTCCACAGGAAATTGATATTGGTTTGAATTTTGTATTGGTCATGTTGTGGACCAATGGGGAAGCACCTGTTCGATAAATTCAACCTCGATGAACTGCAATCGAACCAATCGAGGCTGAGAAGAAGCAGCGCAAGCCTTCAATAGGTGGACGGTGTATGTTTCCATGCAGAGTGAGATGCTTTGACTTACTGACATAATATAGGTGCCAACCCGTGGACATCCTCAAGTTGCCACAGAAGGTGTAGACTCTAGGTCTGCTATGGAAAGTCCTCATGCTGAAAAGCACAAGTTCGATTCTTGCATGGGATGAAGTGAAATCTCGTCAAGCAATCAAAGAGAAGCTAAAGAGACTGAACCATCTCTCCTCGTATTTTCCCTATGTCGGTCATAAGGTAACCAACAATCTGGATGGCAAATCCTTCGCTACCTGAATATAGAAGCTGGTTTCGTCACAGAATCTGCAAACTGATTCGACCTTGATTTGCCTATGGAAACTTTCGTTATCCTCGTTTGATGCCATTAGGGAGGACTAGCTCCCCATACTATATCCATGTGTTAGCTGCTTGTTCGCCGGCATGCGCAAGATCGCACATGTCCGGTATATCCCTTGCACAAAAAGTTTCAAGAATGAGATCCATTTCCAATTCAGGCAAAGTGTCTATTGAGAATCGACACTAGTAGATCCAGATGGTTCTTGTTTTATCATATGATCTGCGAGAAAGGAATAGTAAAATAACACGTAGCAATTATACCTAAGCTAAGAAATGCAATTGCTATCCTCAATAGTTCACTGGCATAAAACGCAAATCAAAGAGCAAATGACATTGAAAGATAAGCAAACAAGAATTAGGCCAGTCTGATGAGCGTGTCCGATTTTTTGAATAGAATTGTTCACAGTGCCCTGTATCCTTCAGAGTCATTAAACCAAGTAAATATAACCCAGACTACATGCCAGAGCCCGTAACATCCTCACTTTTCACCTTTAACTCTTCTTCCGTGGGTTTTCTCCCCCAAACTCTCCTCCTATAAAACATCAGCCGGAAATCCCCTTATCCAAAGAAAAGAAAAGAAACTCACGCATACTGCCACATATGAATATGCGGATCCTGCAATTCCTTCCTAACCCTCGCCAATAAAACATGCACCTCCTCCTTCGTCCACGGCGTCGGAACCCCAAACTTAGTAAGAAGATACATCCCCCAACCCTCCATACCAGCTGTCCACTGGTGATAATGCAATCTCCCCGCTTCTTTAAGCGTAGGGTCTTTTGCCCACGGCCCAACAGGCCATCTATACACCTTCTCATGGATATCGACAAAGCCCGCTTTTTCCATTGCTGTGCGCATCGTGTCCAGCGTGTCGAGGGGGTGATTCCATTCCATTCCGGCGCGGAATACCGCCTCTGTAAACTGGACCATGCTGGAGTCTGGAGACATACTGTTGTCTGAGCATTTGATACGGGGGTCGCCTTCGATTTGTTCGATTCAGCCTCCTGGGTTTAGGTTTCTGCTTGGTTAGTTTTATTTGAAGAGACAAGAATAGAGGATAGACAAGCTTACTTGTAACACTGGCTGAATAGAGCATCCCATTCTTCAGGTGTGAAGGCTCCTATTAGCTGGCGCATGTGGATTAGGTCGAAGGGTTGGCGCCAGGTCCAATGTTGTAGGACGTCGTCGACTTCCATTATGCAGTTTGGGGGGAGCCAGTCTCCTGGTGGGGGGAAGAGGTCTACGCCTCTGACGGTTGCTTGGTTGGTTAGCCTGGTGTTCGGGTTGGGGATATATGTGCTTACCCTCTGGGAACATGTCGGCTACATCGCTGTGTCTTGTTAGTTGGTATTCTTGGCTGGAGGAAAGTGTTCTTACATGGCCCAGTTGCCTCGGCCTGTGCCGATGTCTAGGATTTGCTTAGGATTGGTCAGTGGAAGCTTTTATAGTTCTTTAGTTGGGTGCATACCTTGGGGTTTTTTACTGGTGCGTGGAAGAGTGGGTTTTCGGTGTTGGCATCCAGGAGTATACAGAGGAGATGACTGATGAGTTAGCCTGTGTGTGATAGTGTGGTGATATCGAGCTCACGCTGCCTCTAAACTCTCAAATTGTTGCTCATCAGATGGACACCTGGAGGAAGATTAGATGGGATATAATCGTTTGAGTTCATGTTCAGGTATATACCATGATGCACCCTCCCTCACAGTTTGATAGCTGATATCTTGTCAGTATCCGACCTCGGTAGATTCGAACATATGCATACCGTCGTCCATTCTCGAACACTCCCCGGTAGACACACGATGCTAGAGAGGTTGTTTCACTAGATATCAGGTTAGAATGATTGATAATAGGCCCAGTGCACACACCCACGAAGCAAAGTCGGTATCTGCGTAGTTGTCGCATCCAAGGTCATAGTAATCCGGGTCCTATAGCTAATATTAGATCCCCGTCAAATTGCATAAATAATCTACTTACAATCTCGATTGACATCGCCATGGCTAACTACTCAAAGAAAAGGAACAGTTACAATTTTAAGGAGGGGAGAACACCAGATACCCATTATTTAACCTGCTTGGGCTAAAACGACAAAAGAACCCTTCCAGGATCAAGACGGATTAAGACGGATACATGACTCTTTACAGGTTTAGTGCTTCGACTATCTGATAGACTGACCAACGACCTAACAGTCGGCCCCCTTCAATATTATTTTATCCACTTGACCGTTATGGGCGATCCGAAGGATTTGGCCAATTAGGGACAAATTGGAAAACCCACCTCCCGGTCGCAAGTCGCTATTTGAAGTAATTCTGAAAAGTTTTCTTAGAAAAAGGAACAAGAAGATATGCATATATGTGAAGTACAACATACAACATATGTTGTATATGGAAGTCAGATTCCAGGGCTGGAAAGGCGGAGAGTTCAGCACATGTCATATGCCACTTCCCCTCTAAATCCTTGTCCTGTCATGTCATCCCTTGTCTTTTCCTCGTATCCCTGCAACCTCTGATTGAATAGGTTTAATGCAATAACATCCCGCGTCTTGGTCTCGTTTTAATTACAATGACAATATTTCAATCTCGGGGAGTACAGCCTTTAAAATTCCAGTTCACTGTGAGATACGAAGTACGGAATACTCCGTACTTTCTACATCCTACACATTCTCCCGTATATCTCCGAGCCTATCTAGGAAGGTGGGGGTTTATCAAGGAATATCTCAACCTTGAAAGGCTCCGCTCTCAAGCCCTGCTTCTAGCCTTGACAACACACATGAGGCTGACAACATCTTCAATCAAAATCCTTGAAGATGCTTGGACAATGGCTTTTCGTATCAAAAACTCTCTCCTCTTTCAAGTCCGAGCGTGAGCGCCAAACCCTCATTAATGATTGGTCACAGCCATGAAAGCAGCACATCACAGTGCAACCTGCATTGAACCAACCAACTTCATCAATTACGCGCCCAACTCCAAAAACAGATTTATTCTGCACTTGCTGATCAAACTTGCTTAAAAGAATGCCATAGCCACCTCAAGGCGGATTTCTTCTCTTTTTTTTTTTTTCTTCAGCGAGCGTTTGTTGTGTTTATCTGCCCTATTCGAGTGATCCTGAGCACTGGTTGCCTGGACCTTTTTTCTTCTTCTTTTCTTTATCTCTATACTAATATTTACTTCTATTTACTCTCAAACGAGCTGTGCTCTTTGGGATTCTGCCTTGCTTCGGATTTCCCTCGAATTTTACTATTAACAGGATACTGGTCGCCGGTCGACTTGATTTCACTGTTCAACAGATATCTACAACAAACTCAATTAATATAATCTCGCTCGATTATTCTTCTTTCTTTGTCGGACCGGTTCCCCAAAGATCAACAGTTCAATATTCAATCTTGACAACCCAAACTCTGGCAGTTTTAGGTTGTTCTACTATACGATACTCTTGATCTTTTGATCCATACGACAACTTTTTTTTTAAAAAATTTACCAACTTTTTTTTTATCATCATGGCCGCCGTTCAACTCAAGTTCTCCCTCCGGACCTCGTCCAACGTCAAGACTGTCCACCTCGTCGGTTCATGGGACAACTACCAACGCCAGATTCCCCTCTCCAGCGAAGGCAAGCCCGGCGCCTGGGTCGGCAAGTTCCGCTTCCAGACCTCAATGCTCCAACTCGGAGGCCGCTACTGGTACTACTACATGATGGACGGATATCACGTCTCGCACGATCCCGCCGTCGAATATACCGTCGAGCCCACCACCGGCCGCAAGCTGAACATCCTCGATGTCCCCGGCGGTAAGCCCACCAGCCGCTCCGCCCCAAAGACCAGCCGCGGCAACATCGTCACCGGTCGCGCCCTGTCTCCCTCGCGCATCCAGCACCCAAAGCCAACAAAGAACTACGCCTCCCGCCAACTGCGCGAGGCAGACTTTGCCCCAACCGTCGACGACTTGACCCGCCGCTTCGCCGGCTCTCGTCTGTCCGATGAGTACTCCTACTCTAACAGCCCACCCAGCTCTGCCGGATCATCTCTGTCATCGCGCTCGTCGTCAGGCTCAACCTCGCCATCCTCGCTATCCTCCATGAGCGAGCCCCCCGTCCACTGCCGCTGTGAACGCTACGGTATCACCCGCAAAGGTGACCGCATCAAGCTCGACTGTGGTGGTTCCCGCTGTGGATACGTTGAGTCGTCCGACGATAGCTGCTCCGAGTCTGAGTATGAGAGTGATGAGGAGTACTGCCGTGCTCGCAACGCCGTCCGTCGCCAGGGTATCGTCGTCCGTCGGTAGATGTCTATGGGTTAGGTTGTGGTCCGATCCAGCCTTGCTTTATTTCTTGTTCTTGCGCTTGAATGTTCCGGTCTGTTGAGACTCGACCAAGGCGTTTGTTTCGATTTTTGAATAAAAATAAAAATACCAAAAACAGCCCGGGCCGCGGGTGAACCGGTTTTGTGCTGCGGTTGGGCGGGGATGATGTCTGAGTGAGAGAATGGGGTGTGGGGAGATGAGGGGAAGAAGAAGAAGAAGAAGAAAACATCGATTCCAATATTTCGATGTGACAATATCCACCCTGGATCATCCAGCCTCGTGGACTCCGACAAGCTTATCTTGAGTCGGTCATCTGACCAGCACAAGCCATAAGACGACAAGATCTGTCCTGAGCCTCCTGGGTCCGAAGGAGGCCTGACCAAGATGAAAAATGGTATCTCGTCAACCAAAGAACATCCCTGATGTCATGAAATTCATGCTTTGGTTAAGGTCTTACTCTGAGATTCCAATGAATAATGAGATACGACCTGCGTCCATGTTCACTGTAGAAGATTTTTGTTGTACAAACCATAACTAAATATCTCTAACCCATCTGTATAAAAGGCATGGTACCAAGAACGAGTCTACTAGGGTATTGTTTATGGAGATGGTGAGGTCAAAGTAGTTGGAGGTTGTCTGTTATTTTGCTGCCGTTGATCTTTCTGTAGAAGGTTGTTATGGGGTTCGATGGATCCAAGTGTGAATGGCGACAGGAGACAAGATAGGTATAAATGTGCTAAGGGTATTGATTGGCCGGAAAGTATATTACTGATCTAAAACCTGATGGAAAAAAAACTACACACAAAGTGTTTCAATTCAAATATGTAGGGCCGGTTATTGTAATGCGAAGGCCAACGATCCTCCGAGACGCCGCGAAACAGGCCAAGCAGATGCGCATTTTTCCAGCAAAGATCATTAAAGTACAAATGTGAAGAATTGAGCAACCGTAAATCAACGCACCGAAACCCCAGAGCGATCGGTGAACATCCGAGCGGCAATGTTCATGGAGGCCAGCTCTTGGAACAACAGCTTGGCGGCATAGGGGATGTGGACTTGAGAGATACGATGCTTGTTGTTGCAAAGACGACACTCGAAAAGACCCTTCTTCAGTTTCCTATAAAGACGGTTAGTTTTGTGACGAAAAGACATTAAGTAGGGATGGAAAAAAAAACTTACGCCACTGGTGTCATCAGGCCGCAGTCGTCGCAAATATGAACACGGAACGGATCAGAAACGTCAAAGAGACGCTCCTTCAGGAAAGCACTGGCACCGTGGGCGATCATACAATCACGTTCCATCTCTCCGAAACGGAGACCACCGTCACGGGCACGACCCTCCACAGGCTGGCGGGTCAGAATCTGAGTAGGACCACGGGCACGAGCGTGAATCTTGTCATCGACCATGTGGCGCAGACGCTGGTAGTAGGTAGGACCCAGGAACACCTGCGCCACCAACTTGCGACCAGTGTGGCCGTTGAACATAACCTCGAAGCCACGCGACTGGTAGCCGTGCTCGCGCAGAAGACGAGAGACTGAGTCGACAGTGACATCGGTGAAAGGAGTAGCATCACCCTCGAATCCACGAAGAGCGGAAACTTTGCTGAGCTGACATTCGATCAAATGGGCAATGGTCATACGGGACGGAATGGCGTGGGGGTTAATAATCAGATCGGGAACGACACCTTCCCGAGTAAAAGGCATGTCCTCCTGTCGGTAGGTGATACCGATAGTACCCTTCTGACCGTGACGAGAGGCGAACTTGTCACCAATCTGGGGGATCTTGGTGGTACGCATGCGAACCTTGACGAACTTCAGGTCGTCATTACCAGTGGAGATCAGCACCTGATCGACGATACCGTTCTCGGTACTACGCAGAGGCGTCGACACATCAATCTTTGTGTGTGCCTTAGTACGCTGGCCAAGCTCTTCCGCATCAGCAGCCAACGGAGCTGTCTTGCCGATAATAATATCTTCTCCGGAGACACGCACACCGGGGGCAACGATGCCGTCCTCATCCAGCTTGTCGTAAGTACCCTTGCGCATGCCAAGTGTGTCAATCCGCATGGGTTTCTCGAATCTCTCAACAACTTGCAGTCCCACCATCTTCTCAGTATCCGCGTAGGTACGATAGAAGAGACTGCGGAACAGACCACGGTCGATACTGCTCTGGTTCATGATAACGGAATCTTCCTGGTTGTAACCAGAGTAAGTCGCAATAGCGACGATAGCATTCTGACCGGCGGGCAGCTCTCGGAAACGCAGGAACTCCATCGACCGAGTGGTGGCCAAAGGCTTTTGTGGGTAGTAGAGAATGTTGGCCATGGTCTCCATGCGCTGCGAGAAGTTCGTCAAGAAAACACCCATGGCTTGTTTACCCATGGCAGACTGGTAGGTGTTACGGGGCGACTGGTTGTGATCCGGGAAAGGAATAATACTAGCGCAAACACCCAAGATCATACTAGGGTGGATTTCACAGTGCGTCCAGGTGTGGGCGCGCTGGCTGAGAATCGATCGAACACGTTTATTGGGGTCGCCGGCTTCATCATCTGGCAGAGCGTAGCCGGCCTGAAGCTGTCGAGAGATCTCAAGATCCTCGGGGGTCATGACAATCATGATGGTTTCCTCTTCTTCGGCATCGACATACTCGACTGCTCCAGAACGCACCAGACCATCCCATCCGAAGTATTGTTCGCGACGTTCTTCTGGGGCCAAGTCTACTGGCAAGTCTTTGTCGGCCTCGAGCTTCCGAATGTGTTCCTTATTAAGGACCAATCCACCCGAGTTTTCACTCTTGGGATCATTATCGATGACGAAGAGTGGCCGGCAGACACGTCCAGTATCCGTGAAAATTTTGAATTCCCGTTCACGGATGTCACGAATCAAACTGACTTCGTGTGAGATCATGTTTCGTCGACGCAGGTTCTGCATCGTAGTGACGAGATGCGAAGGGTCCCGGTGAATACCCACCCAGACACCATTAACAAACACCTTTGTCGCATTGGGCGTCACTTGGGGTTCGAACTCCTCGAGGACTTCCATGTTGCGCTGAATCATGAAGTCCACGATAGGCTCTGCAGGTGTACCGACAGTGATGTAGCACATCAATGCCAAGTTCTTGACCAGACCACAAGCTTGACCTTCGGGAGTCTCAGCCGGGCAGACCAGACCCCAGTGAGTATTATGGAGTTGACGGGGTTTGGCAATCTTTCCATCTCTGCCAATGGGGGTGTTCGTGCGGCGCAGATGAGACAATGAAGAGGCAAATGTGTAACGACTCAGCACCTGGGACACACCAGCCTTGGCGGAAGCCGCCTTCTTCTGCTCTCCCCAGTTACCAGTAGCAAGAGCATACTTCAATCCACCGGTCAATGTGCTGGCCTTGATACCAATGTTAAGATAAATTTCGCGATTGGTCTCAACACATCGCTGCACGTAACGCTGGAGATCCTTTGTGACTCGTGTGAAAAGAGTCCGGAAAAGACTGGCCAAAAGCGGACCAGCCAAATCGAGTCGCTTCTTTCCAAAGTGGTCACGATCATCCACATCACGGCGACCGAGAGCGCATTGAAGAAGTCGGTGCACCATGTATCCGAGGAAGAAAGCTTTGCGGGTTTCACTGCCATCGTTTTGCGAAATGTGAGGCAGCAATTCCTTTTGCATAATATCCCGAGCATAGCGCACGCGACGATCGTGGTTCAGGTTCGACTGTGAAGATCCACGCTTGGCAATGAAATCCAGGGCAACTTCACGGTCCTGGATAACGAAGCCCTCCTCAATACACGGCTTCAACATCTCCAACATGGGGGTATCATTGCGGTCATAGCAAATGTGATTGAGGATATCTTCATCGGAAACGACGCCCAGCGCACGGAAAACGACGACGATTGGAATATCGGTCTTGACGTATGGAAGTGTGGAGCGAATAGTCGGGCCAAACCCTCCTTTGGCGCTATCACCCTTGGCGAAAAGCTTCAAAGTAAGCGACGAAAGCATGCGTGATCCCTTCTCGACTGCGCTTCGAATTTCGGCAATATATGGTGTCGGGCTAGGGGGTGCCTTCTTGAAGACTTGGACGATGTTGCCCGCACTGCGTTCCTGTGCGATCAAGACCTTCTCACTTCCGTTAATGACGAAGTAACCACCAGAGTCGTATGGGCACTCGTTCCAAGCATATAGTGAGGCTTCGTTCAAATCCTTGAGGATACAGTATTTCGATTTCAGCATAATGGGCATCTTTCCAATAAACACTGTTTCCTCCTTCATCTGCTCCTGGGGCAGTTGCTTCGTTTCCCAATCGAGGTATGTGCCTTGGGGCTTGTCGCTGTCGCCGTCGTCATCATCGTCGGGGTTGGGCTTGCCAATCTTCTCACGACCTTCCATAATCTTCTTTGTGACGCCGAGGTAAAGTGGTGAAGCGTAAGTGAGATTTCGTAGACGAGCTTCCTGGGGCAACATGATTGTGGTGGCGCCATCGCCTTCAGTGACGGATGGGCGCGAAAGCATTACTGTGCCAAATTTGAGCTCGTAACGGCGCACGACGATCGGCTCAATCTCGTCTTCGGAGGGGGGGAGAGTCTGATCGAGAACCACCTGGCCTTGCTCCTCCACAAGCTCCTGCATGGTTGAGGAAATGAATTCATCGAATGAATCCAGCTGCTGGGATACGAGACCCTTGGCATCAAAAAAGGACGAAATCACCGTCCAGCAATCCTCGGAGGTGATGCCCTCGTCCGCCTCATCATAAAAATCCTCCTCGTATGTCTCGTCGTAGTCTGCCATGATTGCGGTGAACTGAGGTTAAATATCGATTGGAAATGAGGAGAGGAGTAGGAAACAAGAGAAGCGCAAGGCGCGTCGGCGTGGGAGCAGGTCTCCGCGAGAATCGCCCAACGCGCTGCAACGCCCACTTGTCAGTTTCTAAAAGTGGGGTTGTCAAGAAGTCAAAATGTCAGAGACAAATGCAAAAAGCAAGGCTGACAATCTTGGGGGGGATGAATGAGAGGTTCCCCGACAATATTCCGATGAAGGGACTGATCTCTAGACGTTTGGATGCTTCTCAGCCAGGCGCTAGTCTCGATAGGGTGGGTCGCACGTGATTTATGCCTCACCGCCACGGCAATATGGCGAAATGGAAGAGAAATTTATTACTTGGAGATCATTGAGATCATAATGGAGAGATCATAATAAATGAGCCTAAATTGTACTCCGTATTGAGTGGTGATTGTCGAGGGGCCGTTACTATATGACGACAAACGCATGTTATGCGCATTCCCCGACAACTTTGCGCTATAAACCACCCATTTTATACAATCATTATTCTAGGTCCCGATTAAAAGATTTGTACTTTGGACTTCATATGTTAAAATTGATATCTTCCATTTTGTAATTGAGATCACTTTGGTAGCTATATGTAGGCTAGAATCTTCCCGCTTTTATCCTAATTTCTGGAAGCACTTGCTCAAAGTGTCTTGTAGTTGGGATTATTGATAACATTGATATTATGATACATTACAATTCCGTTGTTTAAACAAACTGCAAAAGAGTGCTCAGCATGTCCTCCAAGTCTTTATGGCCCGGTTCATCCTCCCCAAGACCTTCGATTTGTTCTACTCGAGTTAGCTCTGACAATTACAGCGATGTGGGTTACTTACCTTGCAAGGTGCCACGGACCAGAGACAAATCTTCGTCACGGTCTGCAAGAAGGGAAACAATTTTCTTTTTCGCTCCATCATCTTCGGCAATGAGCCACGCCAAAATCACATCAATTGTCTAGAGCAGTTAGTAAAGAGACTTGCCAGCGCAGAAGAGGAACAGTACCTGCAATGAGAATAGACCCGCATCCAACCGTCTCGATAGCCATTCGCCAGCCATCAGTTCTTGTTCCTCCTTGTCAAACGTTCTGCGCTCTTTTTCAATGGCTTGGTCGATGGGTGAAATACGCGCAGCATAGTCACGCCGGAGATTGACGAGCTTCTCGATCCTTGCGTAGTCCTTCTCCATAAATTTGGCCAAGGTTCGAATGCGAGGAGCAGAACCTCCAGGCAGAAGACGCAGAAGGGAGGCAAAAATCCCCAAGAAATGTTCGATGTTTCGGCCCTCTTGCTGGAAGGATATTAGCATCACGGAATTTGATAATTTGATTATAAGGCCCAGCTTACCTTCTTCAGGAACAGTCCGAAAACTGTCTTCAGGCCAGCTGCCTCCACCAACCGCTCGCAGGCCGGGGCACCTCCCAATCCACCCAAGGCGTGGTCAAGTACTCTCAAAGCACGTGGCTTACTGAACTTGCCTTCCTTAAGCATGATCAACGCAAGCTCAACTCCTTCGGCCTCCACAAATTTTTCTTTCCCTATATCTTCCTCGACTAGGCAGATGAGGGCGTCGAACAGATTCTCCACATATTCTTCCTCGTCAGAGTCATTGGCTGGGTCGCGTTTGCGGTATGCACTGAGCAGCTGGAGGAGGATATCGATGCCGTCGAGCTCAATAAACTTCGTGCGGTTCTTTTGGGTAGACTGTAAAAGGATTGCCAGGATTTCTGCGGCATATTGTTTGTTTTGGCTGACAGTCGCTTCTTTTCGCTGAATACGGGACAGGATCCAAGGCAAAATTGCAGCGTCATTGCCAATTGCCTCCGCATGTGATGTTTGAGAGGCAAGGTTTTCCATTACACCTGTATTGAATTAGCGAAATTCCACACTCTGTGTTGATATGATACTCACCTAGCACATAGTACACTCCCGCTCGATCAGTTTCGGACCCTTCATCGAGTCGGGAGAGATTTTGAGCCAATAATTCTACGAGGTCGGCCTCCATCTAGTCATAGTTAGCACTTGTTACTCGGAGTATCACGCTTCAACATACCATTGCGTTAACAAGAGCATCCCATTGTTCCTGTTCTGCCTCCACGTCCTCGTCTGTCAATTCACCGATTATCTGGATGACATCAATGGCGATGTCGGCGTTTTCATGCGACAAGAGAGAGGTCAATGATGCGACGCAGCCCATCTTGGCAAACTCCTCGTATAAATCAGAATGCTCAGACAGGATTGATAAGCCTTTGATTTCGGTGTCCAGGTCGGCCTCGGAAGCCATGAACCTGCAGGATAATTAGCACCTGGCACATACAGTTGTTCCGGCATCCACGTACTTTTGCGGATCACTCTCAAACTTTGCGCGTAGTTCAGCATTCTTGGAGATCTTCTTCTCGAAATTCAATGCGAAGCGGCGCACCCACGCAGAGTCGAACTTCTCGGGCTAGAGCATACTGTCAGCACCAGGACAAATCCTTCATGTGCTATAGGTTCCATACCGCAGCCTCGTCTTCTTCTTGCTGGTCGATGTATTCCATTGCTTGGGCTGTCTTTCGCTCCATTCCGCCGCCGAAAAAGCGGCCTTCCTCGTCGTCTGGGATATCCTCCTCAAAGTCGGGAGGGAGCTCGGGTCCAGCTTCGCCATCGTCAATCTCTTCCTCCACCATTGGTGCTTTCCCCTTTGATCTCACAGCGCCGCTGGGGTCTAGTTTCGCTGATTTATAGAGCTCATCTGTTGGTTATCGTTAGGATTTGCGACCAGCGCATTTGCGGGGAAAGCGTACTTGGATCTTGGACAGGCTCAAACTTGCGCTTAGCGCTCCCTGTGGCAGATGGTTTCTTTGCGCGTCAGATTTGACATAGATTCAGTAGATCGGCTTAGAACTCACTTTAAAAAGCTCGTCGACATTCGTCATGATTGCTGCGGCTAGGACGCCTGTTTAGTGGACAATGGGAAGGCAACCAATTTCTAAGGCGAAGATATATCACCGAGATAGACCGCGTGAGTGAGATGTGCAAAGCAGCAGCGAAGATAATATAAAATAACAATAAAGGCTAGATGACGCTGTCGCATGGCCCTGCACTACCGCGCGCGGGCAAAATAAATACGGTGGCCCACAGGAGCTAAAAACGCAGTAACGCCAAGCGTTCCGAGGCCGCAGATTTCTCGACGTCCGATCATCACTCCAACATCCACATCAACATACATCTTCTACATTCGTCTCTCACATCACATACAAAATGGCTCCCAACCAGCGCGTCGTTCCCTCCGGCTCTCGGCCCCAGAAGGGCTTCGTCAGCACCATCTACGACGAGGCCACCAGCCCCGAGAACAAGACCATTGTCCGCAGTATCGTCATCTTCGGTGTACGTTTTGGCTAATCAACAATCTACACGTCTCAATGTGATTCATTAAACTGACAGTATTTGTTCTAGGCCGGCATTGCGTTCCTCCACTCCAGCTTCGGAGAGTTCCTTCTTCCTCCGTAAGTCGAACCAACACGTTTCGAGATCGAACATCATCTAACTTTGCGCAGTATGTAAAATCATCCCGCCTTTTATACCTCCGGTGACACGACTCGGAATCCCTTAAAACCTGTGGAAGCATATCGGCGTCGGTCAAAGGAAACATATGATGCATAGGCATCTTTCGTTCGGTGGTTTTTCGATTGAATAATTTGTACAATATTTTTTTATTGGCAGAGCATGTACTATCTGTCATGCTGTGTCCTGTTTTGAGGTTCATGAATATCAGGAATTTTCCCATTGGCTGGGTGTCCAGCGGTGTGGTACAATCCAATTTTGATTCAGGATAATTATAACCTGTTCTATATCTCCTGGAGATCTTGAATATGCTGGATTTGGATATCTGGGCCACGGGATAATATCGCCCTTGATAGCGGCATAAGTTGCTTTTTATGCGTTCCTGGAATGATTTTAAGACTCAAGGGGGCAACACTAGATGTACTGCGATCGATGCCTCCAGCAATCAGAGATAGTTATGTACGTACATTCAGTGCTCTATTTCCCAAGTATCAAATCAGTATCGATCCAAAGTGGGCCATCTGATACAGAAGACAAGACAGGACGAGATTATTACAGAAAGTTGAGAGGTTACTATGCCCAACTAGGCCTTTAGCTTTGATCATGGTATGGTATGTTTATACACCGTTGTGATTAAGTCCACATTACATGTTTGAGTCAATTCCGTACATACTGTGCTTCATCACAATATATACATTTTCCTCGATGTTCACAATAAGGTAAACTAAATATGTTTTAAGAATGCTGATCTTTCTAAACACAGCCAATCATAATATAAAAAAAGTAATAGAACAAAAGAGAAAGATATCAAAATAATTTGGAAGGGCAATTTCCCCCCAAACCCCGCAAAACCCACCCCCGGTCCCGAACACCGCCTTATAACGGGTTTGGAAATCGGCTTATGCTTTCAATATTATCTGAGAAAATTTACCTACGGAGTACTAATCTCACTTGATACATCGTAAGAGGTCATGTCTCCAAGCCCCGCTCTGAAGCGCAAGTTGGCGGAATCTCGCATAAATGCTACGACTAAGCGCCATCTTCATGGATATGATCCACAATCCCCATGGTTACATGAGTCCGAACCTGTTGGGATATGGCGGACGCGGGGAAATCCCGATGTGCAGCACTCGATGCCCTTGTCAAATATGGTAGCTGCAGTCCAAGACCTGATAGACCCGGACTTTGATCCACTGACGGCGATGCTGGACGACGAGCCCCGGTTTTTGAAACCCTTACCGGCTCGCATCGCCCCGGAGGACTTAGAATTTTTAAGATTTCGTGGTGCACTATCACTTCCAGAAAGTGGACTACGGGATGAGCTTCTTCGTTGCTACATTCAATGGGTGCACAGTTTCATGCCAGTTTTGAATCTGCAAGAATTCCTACGATGTGTGGCGGAAAATGACCCAGAGGGAAATGTTAGCATTTTACTGTTTCAGGCAGTGATGTTTGTTGGTACGGCTTTTGTCGACCTTAAGCACCTGCAGGATGCTGGATATCCAACAAGAAAGAGTGCGCGCAACGCGTTCTTCACTCGATTGAGGGTTTGTTTTTCTTCAAGCGATTTCAAACTCATTCGGCTAACTCATTGATAGTTACTATATTCTCTTGACTGCGAAGAGGATCGTATTGAGATTCTCCAAACACTACTATTGATGACCTACTGGGCAGATTCCGAGAACAGTCCACAGCGAGATATTTGGGATTGGATTGGAGTCTGTAACACACAAGCACAGTCCATTGGTTTAAATAAAGACCCTGCATCAGGTGAAATTGATATACGGACTCGAAGGCTCCGTTCTCGGCTCTGGTGGTGTCTATACTCTCGAGATCGGCTGATTGCCATGGGCATGCGGCGCCCACTGCAGGTTAACGATGGAACGAGCAGTGTCCCGATGCTCAGACTGGACGATTTTGATTTTGAACCGTTCTCTCCATATGTGGTGGCCAAATTCTATTGCCGCCAACTACAAGACGTGTCACATCAAAAACGCCTCGCTACCATGTTCATTGAGAAGGTGAAGCTCTGTCAATGTATTGGTAGAGTATTATTCGCACAGTATACACCATCCCAGCGCCAATTTGGAGCTACAGACCGGACTACAGTCACACTTATTCCTCGGCAAGCTTCCGAGTCTGAGTTTGCGCGATGCGGCCAAAAACTTGACTCGTGGCTTAGTGCGCTCCCTAAAGATGCACAATTCATTCCAAAATCGGGGAAGGATTTCCATGATGGTGAGGATGTGCTACTGCTTCATGGTGCAATGCTACGTATGCTCTACCATGCTACTAGCAGCGCACTTCACCGGCCTTGGGCGACTGCTTCGAAAGATCAATCTAAATCGCGGACGGAATGGCGCAATGCTGCCCGCACAAAAATGAACGATGCTGCTGCTGGGATCACTCATATCATTCAAGGCTTAAATAAGCTCAGCCTGACACGTTTCTTACCACAATCTGGAGTGACTGTGATTCTACCTGCCGCTGTGGCACATTTAACCAACACCATGTCGGACGACCCCGCTGTCCGCGAAAGCAGTGTCGACAATTTCCATCGCTGCATCCAAGTCCTCCACTGTCTGAAGGATATATATCCAGCCGCCGTTCAAGAGTTTGCCAACATCGAGGCCGCCATCAGAATGCAGGCAGGTTCCTCCAGTACATTCTTCCAGGTCATGGAATACAACCTCGATGCGCCTGCTACATCTTTGGCAACCAGGAAACCAAGCACCGCCTCCTCCACCCCTCAACCCCAACCACATCAACCTGTTACCCTAACCGAAACTTCTAAGGTTCCAGCACAATCATCTATCCAAGGGAACCTGCATCAAAGAAAGCCCAGCGTCGAGACCGAACATGAAGCCGCGCCACCTTTATTCCCCAGTGATCTCAACTATTATGACGACCTAAGAATCATAGACAACAATCCTTTCAACTTTCTCTCCATTGACATTGACTCCTTCCCCGACATCCAAACCCCTCCCAATCAAAATAACCCCAGCAACTCAGATAAACCCTATATGTCACCCCCACCCCAAGACCAAGACACCATCGACTGGGCACAAGAACTGTTTAAAGACACCGATGTCAATCATTACAGTAACACAGAGATCTTTCGCAAGCCCCAGAAAGCAAATTCTCCACAAAATCAAGAGAACAGCCATCACGATCCGTTCTCTTATAGTTTGGAGGATGCAAATGATGTCTGCTCCGTGCATTCTCGTCATCAGTCACTGAACGATACAAGGCCGGGAATCACCGGCGATCTGGATCGGGACTTGGGGTTCCAGTCTGGGGATGATATGTTCTAGTGTATAGATTGAATAGAAAGAAGTACATATTATATTACCTTGATTCGTGGCTTATTCTTTGCAGTCTAAAGACAGAGGACGTTATATTTCGACACATGCGGGACCATTTCAGCGACAGCAGGTTGTTTGGAATCCTACCTTTTACTGCTATCTAATTAGGGATTTCTGAAGTATTGATAGTTTCAGAGATCAAGAATCCATGGATGAACTATCTGAACAATCGTATCATTTGCCAATTGCCTGCGTGGGTGCCTGAGTTTACCTGTACATATAGTTGCTGTAAGCTCTTTCTCTAAATCATCTCATGAATGCATGCCTTCAGTTCATTCCCCCTCATAAAAAATTATAGGATCATGCTATCGTTCTAATCTCATATTTGTCCTCACATAGGGAGTATCAGCGGCTCTTTCCAAAGTTGGACGCCGCTTTAGAGGGAAGGGGTGTGATTTATTGGCGTAAAATTCTAGGCCTCGTTCCCTTGACATCTACCTACATTGACATTTCTACACTGCGTGTTGCTAGTTGCGTTCGACAATACGATGACTCTTTGCCATAACCGTGCCTGCATCTTTGGGAAATGACCTGCGCGTCAGGGCTGTATTTCCGGCGGCCTGGTCTACGTATTAGTCTCTGGGGTATCTGGCTCTGTTGCGCTCGCAACATCGACTCTCCTCTGGCAAGCTCCATACGTGGCCTCTAACAAATGTGGGCTGCGCTTCTTGTTCCAAAGCACGATAAATCCTAGCTTGTTCCTTGATGCTAGCACATCATAGGGTTCTGTCAGAGAAAGGGTCTCCCGTGGCCGTTCTTCGTCTTGAACTTAGTTATCCTAGACTTGTTTTGATAAACAGGATTATATGTAACAATATAAACGTAAATTAAGTGCCTGATCATTGACCCATGGCAATAAATGCTGGCTCTTTCCTTGCTAGCACAGACGAAGAGATCGACTACTATCTGTTCAGAGTATACTATGATCTGATAGCCACTTAACCCTCCCAATATAGCTACCATCAAGAATCCATGGAAATCTTTTCATTGATAAAAACTGTTTACGAGGTCTCAAGAAGATTAACTATGTAATAAAAGTCCCAGTTGCTCACATACTAGACAGAATGTTGTGAATTCCAGAAGTCACAGTCTGTATAGTTGACCGCGTCCTATGCTCTCAACGTGAATACTGTTTGTTGTTCCTTTGACACGAAATATCCCATTTCCCTCTCCTTCTATTCCAATTCATCCTCTTCTTCCCCATTCACCCACCCCTTGTATCAAACCATTATTATTACTGTGATATGACATCTATGCACGATGGATTTCCCCATCCAAACCGTGAGTACCGACAAACCCCGGCCATAAACAGAGGCCAACCAGCATACAGTCCAATGTGCCCGTCAATTCGATGCGCCAGATCCGCCGGCGTAACTCCTCTGATCCCACCGAACGCATCCCACCCGGCGTTGAAGAAGTAATCTCACGTGGCTCCTGCCATGTCGGTAAACTCAACGACACAACAGTCTTGAAATACACCTCCGACTTCAACGACCCAGGCTATCTGACAAGCATCAAAGTCGAACACAAGATCCTGCAGCTGCTTGGCCCACACCCTCACATCGTCGAATTGAAGGGCCTTGCTGAGGATGGTATCATCCTGAAATACTATCCCAACGGTACACTCCGCAGCTACATCAAGAACCACCCCTATGAGACCCTCGAACGCCGTCTCGAATGGGCCAAGCAGCTCGTCGACACTTTGTCGTTCGTACACGCCAAGCGTGTCGTCCACTGTGATGTCTGTCTGCACAACGTCCTCCTCGATGAGAATCTCAATGTCATCCTCGCCGACTTCCAGGGTCTGCTTCTTTCAAGCACCACTGGTAAGCCCCTGCTCGATGGGTTGACGCGCGAGTCTTCCAAGTCGTTCATGCCGAGGGATAATGTCTACTTTGCGAGTTATCGTACTGATCTCTTCGCTGTCGGATCGGCTATCTATCATCTTATTGCTGGACATGAAGTCTTTCCTGAATTGGATAGCATTGATGATGAGAATGTTATCAATGCCCGGTTTGTGAATGGGGTGTTTCCGAGCAATGACTATGTCGCTAGTCATATTGTGGAGAAGTGCTGGATGGGACAGTATGAGTCTGCTGCTGAGATCTCGGCTGATATTGCTGAGGTTCAGGCTATTAGGAAAGATGTTGAGGACTCTTTGAAGCATGGGGAGGAGGATGCGTTGAAGCAGGGGGCTTTGAACCATGAGGAGGTTTTGAAGCATGAGTCGGATTCTGAATCTGAGGAGGTTTCCAAGGATGAGGAGGATGAGGACGAAGATGCTGAGTACGAGGAGGAGTTGTGAGCTTTGACTGCACATGGCTCAAGTGTACATCACTCGAGATATTCCTTCCAGAAGGACAGAGTTGAGAGGTCTTCAAGGATATCATGGATTCTTATTCTCTATGGTATTGGCACATTATGTCTAGCGAAAATCAACAGTAGCCTCCCCAATATCAATATGATCATGGCTCATGTTCAGCAAATCTTGTATGGAGTAGTGGGAAATCGTATGTCAAGCACAGGCATTCTATGCCTGCTTCGTCCAGCGGTGGCTCTCATCGCCCTCTTCCCAGGTGTGCTCGACGTAGCCCAACTTCTTCTTGACTTCCTGGACCTTGGCAAAATCGCCCATGTTTTTGCCCATATTGTCGCTGAGCTTGACAGCGGGGCTGCCGTTTGCAGTAGCGATCTTGATAACAATGTTGAGAGGCTTGGACTTTTGTCCGGTTGATTTATTGATAAAATCATCTAGAAATTTGTTAGCACCTGTGTTGTAGGATTTCAAAACACATGACTTACTAGTAAAGAATGTGCCCACTCCAAAGGTAGGCTTAAAGCCTGCCTTTTCAGCAATTTCCTTGTATTCCAGACAGTGCTCGATATCCAGTGAATCCGAGAACACCACTGTCTTGGCGTCTGTAATACCTTGGCTATCATAGAATTCCCGGACCATCTTGACGAATAATGTTGGGTCGCCTGAATCTTGGCGAACACCGGCGTAGCTCTGGGCATAGGTTATTGTGCTCGGCGTAATCTTGTCCTTTTGATTTGGTGCTGAAATAGGCTTCTTGAATGCATCCAGGAAAGCCGGTGTGCCAAAGGTGTCAGTGAGGGCGATTCCAAGAACCTGTGTTTCTGTGATTAGTCTGTGTATTCCTGAATATTGAAGTTGAGAAGTGCACATACTCCTTCTCCGAAACAGCCGAGCCAGTAGCTCAATGCCAACTCATTGGCATTCTGGTAGTCGTCCGTGATAGCCGCAATGGTCATGTACCATTCATGTGCCACGGTGCCGACAGCAGCCTTATTGTATTTCATAGCAAAGTGGACATTGCTAGTTCCGGCCATTACACCGGGCCAGCCCTGCTTCTTTCCCTCCTCTGCGGCACGGCAAAGTCCCTTCATAACCAGATCCTGGGTATGGTAGTCGCGACGACGGCGCGAGCCAAATTCAGAGAACACGCAGCCATTCTGGAGCAAAGTGCAACCCTTCTTGTATGCCTTCTCTTCCTGGTTTTCATAATCCCATTCTTTGTCGCTGAACATGAAATACGCCTGGCTGGTCAACGCCAACAGCGGGATTTCATACAAGATGGTGTCGAGCCAGAGACCATCAATGATGTATTCCACGTTTCCTTGGTCGTCATCGCTGCCCGTATCTTGTTCTGGGACGAACTTGATCTTGATATGCTCGGAGGGTTTGAGGTGGAAGGTCTCTAGGAAGGCGAGGTACTCATCGTTGAGGTAAGGGCACTTTTGGCGGAGGAATTCACGCTCTTCGGCAGTGACACGAATCACGGCCAATTCTAAGCGCGCATATGTCAGAAGCTATATGATTGTGATAGGAAGAAATATCCTTACTGTCCATCTGCTCCAGAAGCCATTTGTATGCCCCGCGATACAATTTCATTTGCGGGGTCCGGTTCGTGTAGCCGTAGGTCACGTCTGCACCCAGATCAGCCCCAGATCCCCAATTCTTCGGTTAGAGCTACTCACGAACGTCAGGGAAGTATTTGAGGACCGCGCATTGCATCGTCAGCTTGTACAGATCCGTGTCCAGGAGGGATGTGATGCCCTGTGGCGGGGTCATGTCTTTGCCCATCTTGTTGGGTGATCGGAGGGTCCGGTCTATGAGTCAATTGAAGGGTGTAGATCGCGAGCAGTCACAGAGCAAGCTGGACAGATAAATAGGCGGAATTTAGCCGGATTGTTGTTTCTTTGCTTTTTTCCTCTTGCGCAATTTACCGCGGGGGAACCTTGGAAACTCCGATATGATTAGATGTTTGCTCTGTTTGCACTCTTTCTCTTTATTGTAGCAAGATTTTTTTTTCTTTCAATTGGCTTGTTCTAATAACATTACACAATTTTGCAAGCTCTTGCATAAAGGAAGCTCTGGTGCTATTTCTCACGGTATCTATATTGTACAGATTCAATGCGCCAGGGTCTAATATGTCAGGGCTTTGACATTGCTCACCCACCAATAGTATCTACCACTTGCTCCGCTATGCCATGCGTGAAGATATGCACCAGTTAAACTAAAATGGTACCTATATTGAATACTTGTCATTCAGTCTTCTCAGGAAAAAGCACATGGAATATGTTGATATCCATTCCATTGCAGCAAAGTATAATGATATCTACAAGGGCAATGCCATCCCGGGTAATCAAACCCTATAGAAAAGCGAAAGTAATTCGAGGAATAGCAAGTACAGTGTAAAGCTCTAGCGCTGTTTAGCCCTACACCATGGATGTTTAATGCTATTGATCGGTTGTAGATATAACCTCTAGGTAGTTCATAGAGCGGGCCAGTGGACACTTAATACAACGCAGAGATGAACATTGGTTAGAATTTCAGATCATTCAACACAGTACTCCGTAATCAATTCTAATTAACAAAAAAAAAGAGCAAATAATACCAGAACTATATGCGAAAAAAAGCAAAAAAGAAATTGTTGTGCATCATCCGTGAATCGAACACGGGCCTCGTCGATGGCAACGACGAATTCTACCACTAGACCAATGATGCTAGTTGATGTAAGACGGGAAAGTCTTATGTTACAAGAATTATTTGTTTTTTTATTGCACTTTCTCGATGTCTTTACACTGTGACGGCAGTTGAATCATTAGATATTCCGCTTCAATAAATTACTTTTTTTGGGAAATCATCTGTAGTCTATGGCTAGATCTAGGTAAACTGAGGCAGAATCGTTAATACGAACAATTCTTGTTCATGGACTTTTACATACTCACTAAATCATTATATATATCTGGTAGCCGATACAAATTAATACAAACTGACTAGTTAGGACTGGGGTTAAGACATAGAGTATGTCATAGTTATGTGGTTAAAGGGATTCGAGCTCATTCCATAACGAATAACGAGATAGGAAACAACGGCAATGCAAAAGTTACTTGGCAGGTCTGATTTTTTCAGTTTACATTCTGGGGCGTCACGGATGACTATCCAGTGTATGTATAGGTTTCCTGTGTTGGAACATAAGAGATCCTTTGTTATGGGCAGGTTCGGACTCGTCTTAGACATCCACAAAGGATCCTCTATCGGTTGGACACTGCCGTCGAGCTAGAAATAGTGAAGTCAAGTATAATCCTCCAACCTTGTAGATTTTGTTAAAACCATGGAGCAGCATTGACTGGAAGGCTCCGAGAAATGATATTGTCAAACCATTCGAACAATCCTTCTGATGGTGACTATGGCGACAACCACAATCGAGCACAGGGCGAATTAGATACTGAAGAACGAACCTGGAGAGCTTGTAGGACGCCTCAGGACTTGTACACGTGGAATCCATGTCATCCCTATCTAGGAAGGTACGATCTGATCCATAGTATAGTCCAGGGCACGTGGTCTGATATAGGTTCACTCCTTCCTAACTTGAATTCCAACTATTTAAAGGGCCAGTTTTCAGTCGGAAAGGTTTTGTTTCCTTTTCCCCTCCCCCGTACGCGTCCATTATCTATTCATCATCTATCCATCATCTGTCCATCCAAGATGGATGATCTACCGCCCCGTGGCTGGTGCTTGAATTGCCTTCATACTAGTATCGCGAACTATGACCCCCAGCTAAACAAGCCCTTCCAAGTCTGCTGTACTATCAACGAAGATGCTAACAACCCATCTTGTGGGCAGTGTTCCGCTCGAAAGATCATTTGTGAACCGGTATGTCCACGGGTTTATCTCCACCCTTGGCCCCAGCGTATAGAAACCACTTGAAAATTCTAACAAAGCAATGCAGCCCGCCCTGGGGATACTAGGTGATATGTACGACCTGTGTGCCATCCTGAAGTGGGCTGGTATGTTTTGGTCTCCCCGCGAACTCCTGTACTGGAATTCGAGCTTCCGCCTTACTATTTGTGAGGCCTCCAAGGAACTTTGCCTCAAATTTGAGGATGCCGAATCGAGTCACCGCCAGTCCCATAAGTTGAGTGCCATCAATTGGGAAGATCCAAGCGAAGAGCAGAATGTACGTTTCGTTAGTGTTTAACCTCTCCACGCGTCTCCTGGCTAATCACCAAACCTCAATAGGCTGACATCGATAACTATCGACGGTTCCTTGCTGATCGTCGCGACGCGATAGATTTTTTCACGATCCCTCTAACCTGCACAACCGATCGACAGGACTGGGCCATCTACAACCCTGAGAGACTGTTTCGCCTCTGGAGAGGAGACGCTGGTTTCTTGGAGTGGTCGGAGGCAAAGACTGGCTTTCTCCATCATATCCTGCGCAAATCCATTTCAATCTATGGCGATGAGGGATCTAAAACGGGAAGAGAGAGACAAGTTTCTATTGTGGACAGCTTCCCAGTGATTGTGGACTAGGTTCAACAGAACGACAGCTCACTTGCCGCTCAATTGGGCATCCACTTCCTCTCACATCATGTCAATTAGTTTTCAAATGATCAAATTTCGAGTTTGAAATCAGATGTGCACCTATGACTATTGCAGAGCTCGTTGACCCATAGATATATGACTGACAGGTTGATTTTGCGCGGTAGAGCACTGGGCATGTCCGCCAACTTAGGTACTTTACTCTGGTGTAACCAAGATATCGGCTCTCAAATCAAGAGAGATATAATACATGTATTCAGCCCCTAGCCTGCGGTACTTTATTAACTTCGTCGTACAGGTGGTTTTCGAAACCAAGGTAATAAAAGGAGTCTACATAATCTGTAGTCGACGATGCCATTCATGCACTTTCATGCATAATTTACATTTGACAGATCCAAGACCTCAGAGATTTACGCGTTCATCCATCCTCCCTCGTTTTCGTCAGCAAAACTCTCCCGGTATGGATGTTTCTCAATCCATTCTTCTGCGCCGACAACTGTCGCGGATTTCTCGTAAAACTCGCTGAGCACATCGTTCAACTCTATAAATCGTCAATACCCACCCAATCTACCCCGGTGTCTTGGATTAGAACTCACTCTCGATTTCCATAGGACTTGAAGGTTGTAGGGAAAAGCGAGATACGCCCTCTCTCCATAATACCAAAGCGGGTGGGATGGGAGTACCTAAACTGATAAGCCTTTGTTTTCCAAAATCGAACATAGAAAATATCATACCTCGCGGAACACAGATAACAGTGGGGTCCAAAAGAGATTTTCCATCCCCAATTTCTTCTTGGTACCGGTCGAAATCAAAGCGCAGCATTTGCTGCATAAGACGAGAATTGGGCATGAAAATCGGCCCATTGGAATCTAATATGTAGATAGTCAGACTCTATTTCACAAGAGTTAAACGGAGTTTACAGACAGGGGCTTGACTTCAGGATTGCCGCGTGAACCAACCCATCATTAGACACACTGATTGCATCCTTTCTGTGGCGGGTCTCGTCTTGGGTCACGTCGTATAGTGTGGCCTTGCGCGCCAGCTGGTATCGGTACATCGTCGCGGGAAATGAAGCATGAGTGGAAAGGAGGGAGAATTTCCGCGCTTGATTGATGTTCAGCCGGGCAGCTGGTAACCAGTGAGTGGTAAGCATCGTTGCTAGAGTGGCAAGTTAATGCTATAAAATTCACAAGTGGTGCGTGGTTGAATTAAGCTCCAGACATCGCGGAGACCGTGGATGGGAAAAAGGAACATGGCCGGCCCCGTGACGCAATCAGTAAGGTTTAAGTGGACCTTCCTGGGCTCTGTACACAACTCGATGGAATTCTACAAATATTGAAGCCATTGCCGATTTACAACTTTAAAAGACAAGTCTAACTTCATTTGACATAATTTGGATCATTAGCATGTGATGCAAATCGTTTACATGTTTCTATATTTGGACATTTTTAGAAATAACTGGTAATAAAAGTTATATAAGCACAAATCCAGTAATTTACTAGAATTGCTCGGAATATTCGGCAAAACAGGTGCCCTCCAGGATTCCAAGGGGAATTCTTCTTGACCATGTACGTACTTCTAATTCTAAGTATCTCAAGAGCATTCGGATACCTTCCCCTGTGGGCCGCTATTTATTCCGACACTCCCCCACTGTCTGGTCTTGTCTAGGGCCCCTTAGGCTCCGAGATCATCATTCCCACCATCAATTCAAGATGATCACCCCATTGTATCATAAACACGCAAAATCAATTTTACACTTTATTGTCCTTCATTAGGAAATGTTGCCTAAACTTGTATCTTTGTTTAGTTAAAGGTTTACGAACTGTCACCTGATCAAGTGATCCGGTGAACCTGTGGCTGTGGACAAGTCGACGTGACGGCTCCTCTCACAACATATTTACACATCACCAGAATGCAGTTCAATTTAAAGTCCCAACCATTGGCATATATCATGCATTATCACCGATATCTATTTGTTGACCTAGATCATTCATCAAGAACAACCACCCCCAGCCGCCGAGCAGCCATATTTATGTCTACGACCCGTGAAACGATCGTATCATCAGATGAAGTGTCCGGATCCTCAGACTCGTCCGAATCCGTCATGTAGAAGTACACCCCAGCCTCTGAGACAAACTTTGCACGGTCAAGAACAACTGTGAACATGCGAAATCCGCTATCGTCGCATACCCCCTGTGTGCTTTTAATATATTGGTCGGGTCCTTGAGGAGTAAAACGTTTTGCTGCTAGGGGTTGACTATCGCCTGTTGTGATATTGTGTAGGGCGCCAATAGAAAAGGGATTTTCTCGGTTCTCTTCATTTTGCTGGGATAGAATCTCAAGGACTTCGTTCTGGGCGGGCCTGATGGCCGACCAGGAATTGGACTTTGGAATGAAGAATTTGAGGGTGAGAGTTTTGTTGGCCGGGATGTTGGACACCATTGATGCCGTAAAGAGGCGTGCTGTACTTTCCAAGATAGAGGAACCTTCTGCGTCGCGTATGTGGCTGAGAAAGGACGCATGGATAATGTATTGAATATCAGGGGTTTCGCCCTTAGGGGTATTGGTGGCTGTCACGATGTTGGCTTCCTGGGAAATATGGAATGCCGGATCAAAAGAGAAGCCGCCAACTGAGGTTTCTTGGCCTAACTGGTCACGAATCTGTTCTTCTGTCGGCATATCCTGGCTAGGAGTCTCGCCCTCATCAATACCTAAGGCATATCGCTCGGGATAACGAGGGACATTATTGAAGATATCGAGAATCATTAACTGGCCTATATAGATCTGGTCCATAAGGCGCTCGATGACGAATTCAAATGCCTCTGACGGGAGTTTCTCTTGGCCCTCACGCAAATGCTGCGCCAGGTCAACCTTAGTGCACGTGCTGGAAAATGTGCGATTGAAATAAAGCAAATCTGGGCCTTCGCCTATCTCCTTAGCCTCCTCTGAGTCCTGCATATTGCCCACTCGATAACTGTGCGATCGCAGTAGGACACAAAGTCCAACATTCGAGAATGAATATGGACGATTGAATCTCGGAATCAGTGGGAGGGGATTTTCAACCCCTGAATGATGTTGCTGCTTGCGACGGGCGATTTCAATGCGATTATGCTCAATGCAGGCAAAGCCATCAGGCGGGCGGTATGAATAAATCTCGAACAAAGGCTTGACTTCATCATTCCAGAATATCTGCATGAGGTAGTGTCGGAGCTCGTCATGGTCGTCATCCAGGGGAATAAGACTATAGACCTGAAAGGCAACTAGTTCACTGGGCTCTGGCTCGTATTCTGGGTTTACGTACTGCTCGAGCACAACAGGATGACCCAGATGGTCAGCATAAGTGCGCACTTGTTTCCAAGACCTAGACATGGTGACTGGGCTTCGGCGAGTAAATAACACTTGATGGAAAAGACTTATTTAGCAAACAATGCAAACATATATTCTCAGGTCCTTCGACGCGATTGCCTAAATAGGAAGCTAGTGTGTAGGCACCTGGGTTGCGGCTGCTACATGCATCTTAAACAATTTTGCCATGTCACTCTTTTATTTTATGCCTTCTATAGGATGGTAGAGATTGGTTTCACCACGTTACTCAGTAAATAACAAAAAGGTAGCTTCCGTATCGTCCTATCTCGCGCTTTGTGATAGAACAATTCTTAGTCAAGTCAAAGAACTTGTCACTTACTCGGTTATCTGGCCGGGATTGAGATTAAGTATAACTGGAAACAATCCACCTATTCTTTGAACACCACGGGGGGAGCATAGAAGAAAGCTTGCCATTTGGTGGTTCTGACGTGAACTTATTCGATAGAACCTCAATTCTAGCAACATTACTAATGCAACCTTGATAGAAATCCAGTACTACCTAGCTACCAAAGCGCTTGCATACATATCTCCGTGCACAAGGTCAGCCAACAAAGCTATGTCAAGTTGAATAGCTTCGAAAGGAGTATTCTATGTATGTTACATGCTGTCATCTGAACGGGTAAATATCTATGGATGTAGCGGGGCACAGGGCGTGCTTGGCGTGTTTCTCCGCACAAGGCAGACAAGCCACCTCGAAGTCTAGCGGATTCCTCTCACATATTTTGGATAATCTTCTTTTAACGTGCAAAAGTTGTGAAAATGCCAATCTACACCCTCCACACGGATGAGAAGGGGTTGGACGCACTCGACTTTATTAACTCCATAACACTTCTACACAGCCAAACCTTCCGGACCGAACGCGCTGAAGTGCGCGTGGAGATCGTTATAGCCCCAAGATTCAACTGGAATCAAAGCAGTGATTCGGTTAGTGTGGAACGACATGTAGGTTTCTCTCTTATTGTTATCCGCAACAAGCTGACTCTATTATAGGGAGGAATAGGTTTCCAGGCCTCTGCTGGTCGAAGTGGAATAAAAAAGACAACAGAGTACCTCACTGCACAGATCGATTTCCGGGGCTCAGCGGCGCTGTGGGAGGCTTACTGTACCAGAATTGTCCGCTTACGGCCATCAATCCGGTCAATTTACCTTCATAAATTGGAGTTTGAGTTTGAAAGAAGAGATCCAAATTATACGGGAAAGATTATAACCCCGCCAAGAGAGGATTCTCAGGCTTCTGCTACTTTCTCTTCACCACCGCCACCAGTGAATGATGAGCTGCTTCCGGTATATCAGCCTTGAGCGGTATAAGGAAATTACAACTTCGACCCCTGAAAATCACTTGTGCATTCTATATATTCTTGAGGCTGCGAGTGTCTCTTGGGCTGGCGTTACTTGTTTCCCGCCTCTTGATACCGTCATATCCTTAGGTGTCTTATTTTTGGTTAAGCAACGGTCACCACATGTGACACCTTTCTTATTCACCCACACCACTAGCTACTGTACTTGTTATTCTATAATACCTTATGGTTCTCTCCCATCTGCAGCCTGATATATACAACCATAGGGTGTGGAAAACAGGGCTTCCCCTCCGCTCAGCCGTACTCAAGCCCATCATAACACGCAGT